TCATGCGTTTGAGCCCCACTTGGGTGTAGAGATTACTTAAATGAATAAATAAATTAAAACTTCAAAAAATGAGATAAATTGTTTTTATTAAAATTTAGCTCTCTCAAGGTTTCGTTCTTTACTCAGGAATTATGTAAATTGCTTTGGAACAGTTGTGCAGTGGTCATGTCACCTTTAATCATAAACTGAGTGAGAAGACAAAGAGACTAGCATACCTGGGGTGCTTTTGTTAGACTTTAAAAACCCAAAGGGGAAAGGTTAAATCAATAATCAAAAGCTTTATAAAATTGTAAGCTGCATGAAGCATTCAGACAATCCATGACAAGATGGAAAACCTCTTGATAGGTTTGCCACATCATTGACTATTCTGCAACTAGACTGATTAATAAATTTGTGACTCCTATTAAAGACTGGTATAATGGCTTTTAAATGTAGCATTTGGCTTGTTATATTAGTAAGTTTTCAAGTTTCTACCCTTCAGTTACAATTGTTATCCACTAATTAAAATTCCATTTTAAAAAACCTTAGTTTTTGAGTGTGTGTAGGTACATGAATGCACTTGTGTCTGCCATAATAAAACACCTTGGTGATGAAGAAAAAAAGTGTTGTATGAGGGAAGTGAAAACATTTCACTATAATTAAGTGAACAAAAGTCAAGGACAGTGTATACGATATGCTACCCTTTGTGTCAGGAGTTTGCGTGTATGTGCGCATTTAAGCTTGAGCATACTTGTAATACAATCGAATCCTTGTAAGGATACACAGTAATCTGGTTCCAGTGATTGTCTAGAGGGATGGTTGAGTCTTGGGTAAAAAGGAGACGCCCCCTTTTTGTTTAAACCACGTATCCTTTGTTACAATTTTTCATGAATATAAATTAACCTATTCCAAAAAGTGCTGTTAGTTGTTGAGAGCATTTTTCCACATTATAAAGTATTAAAATGAAAACTTTCATTCTGTCAGCAGTTTTGTTTTTATTGGCTGATTTTGTTAATGAACTAGGTAATTCTAACTTCATCAAATTTGGTATCCTTATTCTCTAGATTCAGAGCAGAAAAGGTGAACAGCCAATAAAAAAATAAAAACTACTTTTGCGTTTCTTAGGCAATTCGCATTTTGGTCCAGGAGCGCCTGACACAGGATGCAGTTGCTAAAGCAAATCAAATGAAAGAGGTATGCATTATTTTTCCCAATAAATTTTAAATTAATTAATAATGAAAGTTTCTTCTGGTATTGTCATGAGTTTAAATTTTGTATGTATCTGCTTAAGATAACCATTCTTTGTTAGAACTGCTTGGAGAAAGGGTAGCTTATTTCAGTGGGATTGAATTTGGTTCTTAAGCAAATTTTAGCCATTATTCAGTGAAAAATAAACTTATTTCATACTTTAAAGCAGTTATAGGTAGTATACCCACAGTCTACCAGCACAAACCATTGCACGTGCCCAGTTGTTTATTTTAAGAGTATTTACCTTGCGAAATTTACTGGGTTATTTTGATTAGTTGCTGGAAAATAGAACACACATTATCTTTATTAATTTCCTTCTTTTGACCTAAATCCTGTCCTTTTTCTTTTGTTTCTTCAGAGAAATCTGTTCTCATTTTATTCACATTTCTTAGCATCACTTATGAGAAAGTAATTTACCTAAGGTCACCTAGTTGGTAAGTAGTTGAGTTCAGGCAGTCTGATTGAAGAGCCAGTGCTCTTATGGTAGTTAGGGACAAAGATCTGTGTGTGAAGGCCTACATGAGCTAGTTGACCATCCCAGGTGAAGGGGTAGGGACATAGAGTCTATATTAGAGTGTAAGTTCCTGGGTACAGGTGACTGCACCTGTCATTTTTCAGTCCTACTTTGTAGGCTAAGGAAACCATATACTCTATTTTTCCCTGAATTCTGCAATACTTTAGATGAAGTGCACTAGAAATTCAGATTCCCCCTGAAGTCTCACTGACTGGACTGTGTCGAGAAGTGTCCTCAGGGATTAGCAGCAGTGTCTGCAGTTGTCTGATAATGCTTCTTACTGTGCATAGATACTGTGATGAATATCTTGGGCACAAGGGACATTCTAGATTCTGGTCCTTTTTTTTCTCTCCTAATTCCTCAATGTCTTTTGTCCTCTGATCCCATCTTTTTATCAAGGCCCAGCAGTGTGAAAAGGTTTTTAATGCCAGGGCAGTGTAGTTCCCCCTAAAAAACATTGTTTTAAAGGCTTTTATTGCTAATTAATTATGTATGGATTAGGCCACTGGAAATTGGATTAAAGATCAGCTTCTTTCACCCACACTGTAGAACAGACAATAAATTGTTCTGGCATAATAAAATCATTCGTGCATTCATTGATGCAGCAAAACTGTGCCTTTGGTTTGAGGGCAGTGCAAATAAGGGCATAGCCAGATCTTTTTGCTTTTGTTTGGAAAGTAAAATTTTCAGTGCTCCTGGTCTTAAGTTAGTGTCCCCTCAAGATACCATGCAAAATAGTAATATAGAGAAGTTCTTACAGTGAGTGTTCTTGTTTATAACCATAACTAGCTCTTGGGGCATTTGGTCAAGATCTTTAGGGTAGCTGTTCCTTGGTCTCTTGGCAAATAAAATGAAAACAAGACTGACATAGAAAGCCACTCAGTGTAATTCTACTTGTTAGTTTTGCTTGCTGCATTTACATGCCTGTTTATTTTCTTCACTTATATAATGTATTATTTTAAAGTAGTTGGAGCATAGGTAGGTTTGCATTAATAGGCAAGAATCGAGTAGTGACAGTGTAGCATTTTATAACATTGAAAGTATAGATTTTATATAGTATGATCAGCAGAGTTTAGACTGCCTGTTCTTGTTGTTACGTGAACTCCATAGAGTTCAGCATCATGTTTGCCGTCTTTGGCATAACTCTGTAGAGGTACTGATGGGTTAACTAAATGGTTTAAAGTTTGCTCATTTTCCTTGATTTCAGAGTAATTTCCAAAGAACTCTAGGTAAGCTGGTAATCATCATGCTAGCTGAAAGAAAAGTAATACATATTTTAGATTTTGTATAAAGACAAATTAATGTGCTCAGAAATATTAAAAGTAATTCTATCCCATTTGCCCTGTACTCTGCTGTTTACTGGAGCTAAAACAGGACAGCAGCAGCCCTGCTCATCTACCCTTCCATAGCAGCAGTGACAGAGCGTAGCTCTAAAAGGAACGACTGCTTTATAGCCTAGTCTTACGGGAGGGAATGGGGGATGGAACTAGCTTCCCACTACACGCAGAGGCCATTCTTTCACTCCTCAAAAGGCAAATTTAGAGAACATTCTCCACCCCACTTGCCACTGCAGCTAAAAGGGTTAACAGAACAGCTAGCTGATTTTCAGTTACAGATGAGAAAAGAACATGATTCTTAACTATAAAGTTTCATTTTGTCCTTTTCTTTTTTAAGGGCTTGCCTGTTGCTTTAGACAAACATATTCTTGGTTTTGACACAGGAGGTGAGTGATTTTGTTTGAACTCAAACTATTTTTAGAGACTAGCTGAATATTTGGGGGAGAAATGGGCAAGTAAATGGTCTTGAATACTGATTAATGCAGTTTTCTTATAAAATAGATGCAGTTCTTAATGAAGCTGCTCAAATTCTGCGATTGCTGCATATAGAAGAGCTCAGAGAGCTACAGACAAAAATTAATGAAGCCATAGTAGCTGTTCAGGCAATTATTGCTGATCCAAAGACAGACCACAGACTGGGGAAAGTTGGAAGATGAACGTTTTAGGATTTCAGCTTCTCACCTATTTAGTACAATTGGGAACCATGTATGCTCTGGCATGTGTTTGGAAATCAAATGTCACATTTTCAAGGGAAGAATCCTAGAAATTTGACTATGTTCTCGAGATTTACCATCATTGCTTTTTCTTTAATAAAGTTCAGGAAAAGTGGATTTTTTTTTTTGACTGCTGTTTCTGTGTCTATATAATTAATCGTCCTCTTTTGTGGTTGAGGTACATGCCAACCCCCAGCTTTGTTATATAGACAATACAGATCCTCAAATCATAGGAAAACTTAAAATATTTTATTGGAGTAATCTAGAAAATTTGAGAATTGTTACATCTTTGGTATTTAAAAATGTAGTAACTTCTGTGGGTAACTATAGAGGGACTTACAGGATCATTAGATACAAATTGAAACATTCTAGCACCTTTTAATATAAATAGAAATGCAGTGATGCAGAGGTAAAAAAAACAAAACCAAAAAAAAAAACAACTTTTGCTGGGAAACTATAAATAAGTTGTTTTTTTCCCCACCAGTTCTGCATAGCCTTCTCTAGATCAAGGCTTATAATCCTTGGGATTGTGTCTTTATACTGATCATCCTACTTTTAATTACTTGGCCAGGAAGAATTCTTAGCAAAAATTAGATTTAGGGTTTTAACATATTCTTATTGGTTCTTCGTTGAATGCATTTGACCTTTTAAATATGATAGAAATGTTTATAAAAAATTGCTTAATAAGCAAATAATTAAAATGGTTACTTTTTAAAACCTGTAGTAACTTTTGTTTTTCAAAATACAGTAGTAAAGATTGAGGTATAAACTTTTCACAAGATAGAGTCTTTTTGTACTGAAAGTGTTCAACTTGTAAGTCCAATTCCTTTTTCCACTTTCTTCACCTTTGCAGTAAATGTTCTTTAGGGTCCAGATTCTGATTGTAAACTCCAAGTCCTTTATGATGCCATGTTTACTTTCTTCCTGTGAGTAGAGGCGAAAGGAACAGTGGGTGAATATTTTATAATCCTGTTGCCACAGCAAGTATTTTAAAGGGGAAATATCCTAATAGGCTGATCTTTTTTGTGTGTGGTGGAGCTAGGTGGACTTAGGGGTGAACAGTCTTTACTTCCCTATGTGTGGCCATTAACGTTCCCATTCAAAGTGGCTCTCGGTGTAAGTGGCAGCAGCCGGGTTTGAGCCAAGAGTCATCGGCTGCCAGATACATCGTTCTCTACCCTGCTTGTCTGAAGGAGCAGCCTGAGCATTTTATTTACCTGCTGGGCAGTAGGGGTAGACTGCAGTTATCCCGTAGAGATGAGACCGCTGCTCTGGGAGATACTCATCAGTAAACTGGCCGCTGTCTCTATTTACAGATATAACACCATCCCTGGTAACAGAAAGGAAGAGTAAACTTGTGGGATAGGGAAAAAGTTACTTTCAGTAGAGAATCTCTGCTAGCCAGCATTCTAGAGTATCTTTTTAATTTAACCAAGTGTGTTTTGACTCCTTTAGATTCGAAGATTTTCCTCTATCAGTGGTTCTCAAAGTGGTCCCCAGACCAGCGTCATCTGGAAATTTGCTAAAAATACAAATTCTTGGGCCCCAATTCAGATCTGTTGAATCAGGAATTATGGGATGGGACCTGGCAATCTCTTTTAACAATCCTTTGGAATGATTCTGATGCTACCCTAAATTTTGAGAACCACTGGTATAAATCAGTGCTTCTCAGCTCTTGCCAAACAGATTACTCGAGGAGCTGTTAAAATACTGATGCCTGGACCTCCTGCCAGACCAGTTAAATCAAGACTGCAAAGGACGGGGTAGAAAGGCTTAGACATCTAGATGTGTTTTTAATATCCCTCCTTGGAGAACTAGTCTAAATCACAGTACTTTTCCTTCTCCCAGGTGGACAACTAATATGTCCATAATGTCATTTTCTAAAAATCAGTTTAAATCCTACAGCTAATATACCTCATGGTCCCACTTAAGTATAGTCTTTTATTCTCTGAAGATCAGATTCAGATCAATGCACTTCCTTTCTTAGACAGTTTAGTATCATCTCTGCCATTTTTAAGCAACCTGTGAGCAATACCATTATGATTTTAAAAGCAGTAACACTTGAACAATGTTATCTACTAATTAAGAGGTAATGAAAGCTTCAGTGGAGAGTTTAATTACTAAAGTCATTAGAGACATTAGGTAAAATGCTACTAATGGTGGTATGCCCTCCAGACTAGGTTGCCTTTTCAGGCTTGGCCAGGGTGTGTCAGGCTCACCTCCTCCAGTCTGTGTGGTAGAAGTGATCTGCGTAGCTAACAATACTAAAGGGGTAGTTGAGGTTGTTCTGAATAACACGCCGTCCAGTCCCATCAGGAAGTGTACACTCCAGTTTTTTGGTTCCTTTTAAAACATCAGAGAGGGAAAATGAGATCCTTTCATACCGTCAGAAAGAAAATTTTTTGCCAAAAATAATTGTGGCAGGTAGAGGCCTTCCAAAAGGAAACAAAGGTAGAATAGGAAATAAGACATTTTATTCCCAGTGCAGTGATACAAATTAGAAACGAAAATTTCCTTTCTATTACCAGTCTTCAGTTTGTTTAATAGCATTCTAGTTTTTAGAATTGAGACTCTTAATCCTTTCTTGGAAGAGAGGATTGCATTTTTTCTCCCAAAGTAGGACATTAGAGACAAACTTTGTTCTATTTAAAGTCTCACCTTATAAATTGTTGTAAACATAGTATCTAGATAAATACTTGCCCTTTATAAGCAATGTATAATGCCTTTTAACTAAAATCCTTAAATATTTTTTGAAGACCTTATTTCCTAGATAAGGAATTAAAAGTGGCTAAAATGGTAACATGGCTCATGTTTTTCACTGTAAAGGAAGTAGTCTTCAAAATTTTGCAATACTTAAACAAGTTTCTTATGGAACCTGGCTTTAAATTTCAAATTTTTAAAAATGCAACTCATCTACATTATAATTCTTTTTGTTAGATTATAAACTCTTTAAGAATGCACCTTTTCATATTCTTTAATATGAAAGTAGACATACAGCATTTTTTCAAATTGCTCTAATAAGGAAATCACACTACAGAAGGGGAGAACTTGGGTATTGGCAACCCAGACTTACTACTGAAGGCCATGCTGCCATATCACTTTCCAAATGTCCTCACCATGATAGCCTATTGACTGGTAAAGCGATAGATACTTAAAAATGTTCTAATACTGGCAAAAAAAGAGAAAACTTTGTTCAGTTATCTAAGTTTGTCAGTTTCAGCAGTTAAGTAAAATTTCTTTTTACTTTAAAAACTAGGCCAGGTGTTTGTGGACAAGCATTACAAAAATGAGTTGGACATAGTACTAGCCCTCAAATTACCACCTAAGTCACAGACCACCGCCCTCCCCCTCAAACCCCAGGAAGATTATAAATACCAATACAAAATTTCTTCAACGGTTTATACACCAATTAAAGGAGTAGATTCTGTGCTGTACTGATAAAAATTTAAGCCAGAAGTTCTGTGTGATGGGATCTGGCTTTGCTGTAAAATCTGAGGTAGAGAGCACGGTAAGGGAGTGCGGTGTGTTCACAGCCATCAGTAATACCTGCGTCTGCCCAGCAGAGCAGTTTGGAGAAGGGGTCAAAGGTTAAACCGTTAGGTAGTCCAATGTCTTTATTCACCAGAATTCTTCTGTTTTCTCCTTCTAAAGAAGATGTTTCAATTTTAGGAGCTTCTCGATTCCAGTCTGTCCAGTACAAGTTGCTATGGGATAAATTAAATACAGTGAAAATGCAGTCTAAGAAATAAGTGTCGGTCTCTGAGTTTTGGTTGTTTCCACCATTTAATGAAGGTAAACCTAGGATTTCAACACTAGGATTTCCCAATGCATTGCTAAAGGAGACCCACCTCATTCCAGGTTAAGTGTGAGGGAGCCTGGCCAGATCATGTGATCAGCATCAGCCCCTAGTCCCTCTCACATACTCTGAATTCTCTGTGTATTGTACCACAGTCTTAATAATTTCCTAGTTTATTCATTAGTTTACTAACTTACTTCTAGAGTATGAGCTCCATGAAAGAATAGACCTTGTCTTTGCCTAGAACAGTGTCTACACCTAGTAGATCCTATGTAAATACTGTTAAATTCATGCACTGGGGCTTTTACACTCTTGTTCTGACCCTCTCCACAAGGCATTTAAAATCCAAGGGCTTCAGAACAGGATCTATAGGTAGCAGGAGAATAGGGAAGCCCAGCTGACCCTCGGATTGGATCCACAGCAATGGCCCGCGGATTCACCAGGTCCGTGTGGAAGAGGACTTGGCGCTCGGAGCCATCCAGCCTGGCTCTCTCTATCTTGTCCAGACCACTGTCCGTCCAGTACATTGTTCTACGGAAGTGGTCGATGGCAAGTCCTTCTGGGCTTATCAGACCTGGAAATAGAACAATGGCAGGACTGGAGCATTTGCAGGTATGAAAAGGGAACCTGAAGTAGGGAGATCTATTAGGTTTGAAAAGTTTAAATAAGAGGGACGCCTGGGTGGCTCAGTTGGTTAAGCAGCTGCCTTCGGCTGAGGTCATGATCCCAGCATCCTGGGATCGAGTCCCACATCGGGCTCCTTGCTTGGCGGGGAGCCTGCTTCTCCCTCTGCCTCTGCCTGCCATTCTGTCTGCCTGTGCTTGCTCGCTCTCCCTCTCTCTCTGACAAATAAATAAAATCTTAAAAAAAAAAAAAAAAAAAAGAAAAGTTTAAAAAAGAAAGTCCTGGGGCACCTGGGTGGCTCAGTGGGTTAAAGCCTCTGCCTTCGGCTCAGGTCATGATCCCAGAGTCTGGGATCGAGCCCCGCATCGGGCTCTCTGCTCCACGGGGAGCCTGCTTCCCCCTTCTCTCTCTGCCTGCCTCTCTGCCTACTTGCGATCTCTGTCAAATAAATAAATAAAATCTTAAAAAAAAAAAGTCCTGAGAGGCACTCAGTTGCAAGCAGCAGGTTAACAGAGGAACTTGTTCTGCCACCTCTTATTCTCCTCTAGACTGATACACCCACTGGCCCGATGGCACCAGGCATATGCAGCAGCAGCTGTGGCCACCCTGAGTTCCCACTGTGAGCCCTTTCTGTTGGGAGCCCTCTTTCTCAGCAGGCTCAGAGTAAGAATCACCTTCTCGTTTCTTGCATAGGAATGTGTGTTTCCAGAGGGACTGGTATGGTACCACTCAGTGAAGCAACTTGTATGGCACTTTTTTTTTTTTTTTTTTTTTTTGCACTTAGTAGAGTCAAATGAAATAGAAAGTTTCTTCTGGATAAAGTTGCTGACCTGAGTTGATGATCGTCTCAGGCTCTGCTCCTGGTTCCAGACTGGCACGGCTGATTGTCCGTCCAGCAACATCTGTCCAGTACACCATCCTCTCGCGGCAGTCATAGTCAATTCCCACAACTATGGAGCCCTTTGTGGACCAAAACATGAAACTGGAAGAATTAGGAGTTTTGCATTTCCCTGGAGTTTGCTCTTAGCAGCTGCACACATGGCTGTAGGGAATACCCCGTAATGTAGTCTCCTGGGCAGCTAATAAGCAGCTTGGTTACACAAGTGGGCTTGGAGGCTGACTTCTAGGGGCCCAGCCAGGCTTGGCCACTGACTAGGTGTGCAACTTAACCTCTCTATGCCTGGATTTGTTCACTTGCAAAATGCAGATAGCAGTACCTACTTCATAGTGCTGCTTTAAAAATGAATACTGTAAATTCTTGTACAGTGTCCTGATCGGTCCTTAGTCTCCAGCAAGTGCTTAATAAGCGCTGTTACTGCCAGCAGTAATAAAACGACTTCATGAAAAAAACCCCTTTAGTGATTAAAGGACAAATGTTAGGCTCAGCAAATTAAGTTCTTAATGTTTTACCGGGCAAAAAAAATCTGTTATTCCTTCCAGACTCTTGAAACGGTCTTTCCAAAATTCACCAACATTTGATGACAAAAATCTACTCCCCCTTCCCCTATAATATGATCTTCTCCGTGAAGCGTAATCCCCTCACCCCATCTCTGCTTCCTTACTGTGAAGCAAAAGGGTTGTATGCTTGTGTAAAAGAAAGTCTCCAGTTGGGTGGGTTAAGAAACTGAAGACTGGTGGTCACCAAACCTCTGGCTAGGGAGATCTTTCCCCTTTATTGCTAAATAAAAGCAGTCTTCTTTTTCACATGCTTAGTCTGTGATACTTCTTTGCAGAACTGCACAGTACTTGCTTCATACAATTTCCAACTCCGACTCCTGGTCTGAGAAACTGAACAGATGTGCAAAGCTAACATCTAGGGGCCATCTGGCTGTCCCTGAGGTCACGCCGGTTCCTGGCTTGCCTAACAGAGCCTCCTGGGGCTGGCTGGACATGCTTCTGGGAGAGGAGTCAATATAAAAAACACTGAATAAAGCAGGATTTGGCTCCTGTGAAAAAGTAGGCAGTATATATGTAATAATCTGAAGGTCAAGTGTGTTTTACTTGAAAAGTAAAAGTCCTCTGTGTCAGGCAGGAGTGCACATCCATGTCAGCTTCCATTGACCTAAGGAATCATGGGATCTGTTAAAAGCCATGTATTGATTTCAGAGTTTCTTGGAAGAATAAGTCATTTTAAACAAATTTCCCCAAGACATGCTTACAGCCCATGTTACATTCTCTGTCAGTTCTACCACCCTAGGAGAGGCAAGTTCAGAAATGCCGCACAGCTGTCAGACTCGGTGGATAGTTAGACTGAGGTGTTGGCAATTTCTCAGTTTCTACATCTTTTAGAGAAACTTGTACAGGAGCATGCCCGTGTTTGCCAGCACAACTACAAAACCTAAATCTTAAGAAAAAACACATCTTCCTCTGAATACTGGCTGCTTCTAAACTTTTTTTGGAATCCGAAAAAAAAAGTTTGTTCCAGAAGTAAAGGCAAACATGGACATTATACTGTTCTGTACCCTAGAAGAGCAAGTACCTGCTACATGAGGTTTAGAAATGGAATCAGATGGCTTCCCTTTATAAGTGGCAGTGCCTTTTTGGTGAACCCCCTTCTCTTTTCTCCATTTTAGAGAAGAAATTGCTCCTCCAAAATGGAGTGCTTTGACAATAGGGATGCTGCTGGCGCAGGAAGCAACAGGCATCTAGGGAAAGCTCCTTTCCCAGCCCTCTGCCCAGAGCTTCTGTGAAGGAGTTAGAGAAGAGACTGATCCACAGAAACAGAATGGGAGGGGAGGGGACTGCAACAATGAGGTAGTATTAATTTATTTCCACTTGGGATTCTCAGCTGACCACAGAAACCACACCTTTTGGGTGGTCTTCCTGGACCCTCTGGAGAGGTCTGGCATGGAGAGGATCCTGGGAACTTGGGTCAAGGTTCTGTCAATTTTGTCTTGATTCGTCATACTGCCTCAGTATCCTGACAAATCTCAAACTCCCTCTCCCTGTATCTGAAACCCCATGAACCACCAGAGAAAGCCTGGGCCAGTGAGATGTGACTCCCGGCAACAGTGCCCCCACTTCCTGTGAGAGCAGTGTCAGACCCATGACAGTGTCAGACTACAGCCCAGAAACCCTCCAGGACCTCCCTCTACCTCTGGCCCTTGCTGTGATTTGAAAGCCCTGTGCAGTCCCGCCCCCCACAGCTGAAATCCACTTACATGCAGTGACAGCAGGGTCTTGGCCATGTCCTTCTGAAGCCTGGTACCATTGAGGGGCAAGTGACCGATCTGCTGGCCCTGGGCATAGAGCAGGAAGGTGCCCACAGATGGAGGGGTCACATCAGGCCGGGGCACAGGCCGGACTGTGGGTGGAGCAACCGTGGGGATACCTGCCGTGGCAAAGAGCAGGAGGGTATAAAGAACAGGGTGGGAAACAAGGGTAGGTGGGGAGGGGGAAGAAGTTACTTTCCACATAGCAGAACCTCCAAAAACATCAAAAGGTTTTTACCCTAGACAGATGTGTTCCAGATGTTCCTTAAAAGAAATTCTAATTTCTAGGCTCCCCCCCCCCCCCAAGATTATGTAAAAACACTGCCAGTTACTAGGGAGGAAGACAACAAAACATTTCCCTCAGAACAAAGCAAGAGGTGTTTTTCCTTTTTAAGGAAAGAAACTAGCCAGTATTGTGTCCGCTTTTCTTTGGGCCCCCAGGGTGACACGTGTCTCCTTTCACCCCGGGCTGGGGAGGAGGAGTAACTGCGTGTTGAATGGAGTTCCAGATGTTCTCACTACAGAAACTGCTAATGACAAAACCAAACACGAAATCCAAATTGGGATCTCGGGTAGACCAGAATGTAAATCAACACAGTGTATTAGTGACTTCTTTCACTGGACCTGGTGACCCCCTGGCTGCCCCACCTTCACCCACAGCTGGCAGTTGACCTCCAGCAAACCCTCCGAGCAGTGTGCCGAATGGGGGCAGTCCCCGGGTGCTTACAGGCAGGGGTGGTGCCTGGCTGCGAGCGGGTGCCCTGCACTTCTCTGCCATCTTTGTCCACACACCAGCAGAAGTCACTCTTCCCATGGCACTGCAGGGGCATGAAGTGGCCCAGGTCATCACACTGGGGCACATACTGGTCATCCCTGGGCGTGCCACCGTAGTGCTCCAGCAGGTTTTCCCTCCAGCGCTCACAGATGGTCCGGGGCCTCTGGGTGGGCTCTGAGCAGATGGGGACAAAAAGCCTTTGATGGTGAGCCAAGGACGGAATGCAGCGTGTAGCTGAAGATCCCCACACCTGGCCTCCCTCCTCCTAGTGTCCGCCAACAAGGTCTCAGCCAAGCCCCTGGACACTGGACCGCAGCAGTCAAGTGCTCTAAGAAGCTCTCCACAGGAATCCGGAGAAGGAAAGTCTCCTGGGCCAAGAGGATTTGTCATCAAGGCCAGCCGCATCAGTAGAGGGCCAGAGGAGGTAAGATCAGGGCTGCAGGGCATGCTCAGGCTGCGAGAGGTTCACAGGGACCACTCCGCCTGGGCCCAGGGCCTCTGCCAACAGAGTACTTGGTGGGAACCCCTCCTCGGGGACTCAGTGGCCCACGTGATATTTCAAGGTAATATTTACTCTTTCCCAGTTGGTTCAAGCTCCAGGACCCACACCCAAGAAGGCAATCTTGAGACTGGTCATGTGTCTTAGAAACTATCCCTGAGTGTTCTACCTATGTGGCCCTCATGTCTGCTCATTGGAAAACTATATGGAGTAAGACTTGCTGCCGTTAGCACTGGTGAACACAGCAGACAAGGGGGCCAACAGCTCCCTGCTGTTTGACACTCCAGTTCCTGGAAGCCCTTTGGCTCAGAGCTGAACCTTTTTTCCAGTAGGTTCCAGCTTCCGCCATGTAGCTCTGCCCCCTCCCATCTCCAGCATCCTCCTCTCTCTGCTCCTTCTCCCAGCTCACCACCAGGCTTAACCTGTGAGCCCCTGCAGAGCAGTTTCTCTAGCTGATTTCTCCCAGCCTTGCTTCCACGTGGCTGTCACTCTGTCACAAACATGGCGGTTCTCAGTCTGTGGGGACTCTGCGGCAGGATGTTTAGATAACTTGTCCACCCATCTAGCATAGGCTCATCTAAAGGAACTCAAATAGAAGGTGCTTCTCCTTCTTTAATTTGTGCAACTGAAAGCCTGTGGTCTATAGAACCATATAGCCAAGTACCTACTTGATACTACCACCTGGATGTGTAACATGCATCTCAGAACAAAAACAAAAACAGGGTGCCTGGTTTCCACCATCAACATTGCCCTAGACAACTCTCCCCTAGACACTTCCCTATCAGTCAACAGCACCTCCATTTTCCATTATCCAAACCCAATCATCCTTGACACCTCTCTCGTTCTCCACATCTGATAGGTCAGAAAATGTCAGCTGTTCCTTCAAAATACATTCGGAAAATCAATCTCTCCACATCCACCCCTATGGCCCTGGTCCAAGCCCCATGGTCTCCCATTAGGATAATTACCAAAGCTTTCATACTCGTGTGGCCCACCTTCTCCGTCCTGCCTCCCAGTGTAAGCTACCAGCAGCCAGGAAGAGAGTCCCTTTAAAACATAGTGATTTCTTAGAGGTCAAAACCTCCAAGGGCTTCAAAGAACAAAGTTGGAAACACTACACTTTGGTTCTAGTACCAAAGTGCACCTCTAGGAAAGCGGGAGGGTGGTAAGTAAAATCCTCAGAGCTCAAAGCCGACCAGCTCAACTACAAGACTCGCTGGATTTGGATGATGTGGATGTTCTTCAGGTCGTCTCTATAGCTTATGACCCGTGGGAAGCAAGCTCTTTTTAAGACCTCATGGAGAAGGACAGTCTCTCGCTTCCTCCCCCAGAGGTGTCTCAAAGACCCCAGACGGAGAAATGTTACTTCCTCAAAAACTAGCTATCCACCTCATACTGGCATTCCCTGCAGAAGTTCCCAACGCTGCCCCAGGCCCACACTGCAAACTCAGAGGGGACATTCTTGGTTCGGGGACGAGCCAATGAGGCGAAGCTCACTGGAATGCAGACACAGCACACCCAGCCTCTGGGAAATGGGCACCTCACATCATTGATATGTGTGCCTTCCTCTCGTTCTTTACTATTTGAAGCTCCTTCTTAATTCACCAGTTTTCTTTCTTTTGTTTTTGGTTGGCAGGGTTTTAAATATTTTGAAATCTTGGACACAGTGTTTTCCCTCCCTTCAAGCCAACCCCATTAACACAGAGGTGACTAGTCAGAAATGGCAGCCAAGGCCGAACCAGCACCAAGAGAGGAGTCTGGGCCATGAGGAAAGAGTGTGCACAAGAGAACACGTCCCTCCTTTAGTCGTTAACTTCTCAGTCTCTTGGCTCCCTTCCGAATCACCGTCCTTAACACATGCTTGTCTTAGTAAGTGTAACAGAACTGAACCGTTCCCTAAGGCATGTCCCAACCATCTGATTTCTTTAAATCCCAGATGGAGTTAGAACTGAGACTTTTTAAAGAGTAGGCAGGAGTGAAACGGTATTTCTGGGTGGGTTTTTTTTTTTTTTTTTTGGACCTGCAAAATCTTTTCCTAAAAATAGGGACAGAGAGGAACTGGGAGTGTCACTGTGGAAACAAGGACATACATCAGAATCAAGCATTACCAATTTTTACCTGTATGACTCTTAGAAGCCCTAATGTGCTGGCAATAATGGTATTACCAAAGGGATCAAAACTGGTGGTAATTCTCCAGCTCTTCTCACTCTCGTACATGAAAAGTCAAGATTAGTATTTATCTTTTTCAGTAGTAGAAATGGACCTGTGACTAGCAGGCTCAGGGCTATAGGAGTTATTTTGGCTAAAAAGGTTTCAATTCAGTCCTATGTTCTTCATAATAAAATTCTTCTGTAATTAAAAAAAAAAAAAAGTCTTCCCACTCTAAACAATCCAGACGGTGGAGGGGAGGCAGGGGGAGCGCTCAGACGGTAACAGACATGCTCACCATCGGCATGTCACTACATGGGCTAATGTCACAGGTTCCTGTACCTCTTCTGACGGTGGCCCTGGCAGGTGGGGATTCCCTGTCGACATGCCAGGCCTGGCTGGAGACAGCTGGGTGATTAGCTCAGAGCAAACTAGCTGGACCCCCCTACAGGTGTCCTACCTCTTCTTCCCATCAATACTAAAGTGGCCTTCATACTGTTTGCTGCAGTTCCGAAAGTGAAGTGAAGGGATAGAGGGGAATACGGGAAGGCAGTTTTTCTTTGGGATGAAAGGCTGGTCTGGCAAGATCCTCTTGCTCCAAAAGCTCCCAAAGCTGCCATAACAGAGGGAGGGGAATGGCCTCAGCCTGACCGACACACTCAGTCTCCACTTCCAGGCGTGTCCTGGACAAGTGTGAGGCCGCAGTACAGGGTGCAGCGGTGATCACGTATGTACCTATGTCCGTCCCTGTCACACAAATGTGCACGCAGGTGTGCACAGACCATTCCGGGGTTCCCAGGAGGAAGAAGCCTCCACAGGGTGGAGATGGGCCCAGGGTCTGGCATCTGCTCGGTTTGGGCAGGGGTGATCATCTGCCCCCCAGTCACCTCTGTTCCGCTTCTCGAGCCCATGGCCGAGGCTGGAACCGGCTCTCCTCCCTGAATTCTCACCTGGTGGTCCGCAGCGCGGTGGCAAGGAGCCGGGTGCAGTCCGCGTGCCGGGGACTTCGTGGCCGTCGGAGTCCACGCACCAGCAGAAGCCGGTCATGCCGTGACACTGCAGTGGCAGGAAGTGGCCCTGCTCATCGCACTGGGGGATGTGCATCCGGCTGCCGGGATAGGTGTGCTGAGCCTGGGCCTGGCGCTGCTGTAGTTCGCAGGGTTTCAGCCCCGAGGAGGGGTCTTCCGAGGTCCGGGTGAAGGAGATGTACAAAGGAGGAATAAAAGACACTGCAACCCATCCACTCTTACCAGCTAGCATCAAAGTCTCCTAGCCAAGGGGTTTTTTGTTTTCCCCTCCATATACTTGGAAGGAAGCATCGCGTGGGAAAAATAGCAGAGCGTTGAGATTCTGAACTCCTGGATTCTTTTGTTTCTGCCACTATCTCCCTAATTTCTCCCTAAGTCTCACAGTTCACCCTGTCCCAGGCTGACTCCCCACTGCTGTCCGGGCAAAATGAAGAGCCACCCACAGCCGCTGTCCAAAGACTCCCAAGAGACTTGGGAGAAGATGGTAAAACTTTGTTCAGCCCCTGAAATCCAGAATGGTAAGTCTGAGAAGCTCCAAGTCAATGGCAATCACTAGATCACAGTGTGCGGGCCAAGACCTCCTAGGGGCTTACGACCAGCTCACTAGCGCACATGGCTCCTGTTCAGCAAGCTTGATCTCAGTACTTCTTCCAGGCAAAGCCGCTCACGAAGGGAGCTGAACACAATGGGTGGGACCCCAGGTAGGACAATGGATGGGTCACATTCCTGGCCTCCCAGAACGCTAAGAACCAGAGAGCACTCAGTAGACTAGGCAGCTAGATGGGACAGGAAAAGCCTTGGTCTCCTATAAGAGTGAACTAAAGGCTATAGAAAAATCACATTGAAGGAGCCAGGGTTTCCTATGCCTCATCTGGCTCTCCAAACCTTACCAGGGGTACACTGAAATCCATCCCCATGATAGCCAGGGTGGCATCGGCAGGAGAAGGAGCCAGGGGTATTGTAGCAGGTAGCTGACGGGTGACATCTGTTTTCTGAGCATTCATCAACATCTGCGGAGGCAGGAACAGAGATGAGGGGGAGGGGGAGGGAGGAAGGAACAGCATGACTTCACTGCACACACACCCAGGGCTACTGCACGGCCTTAGTACACAAAGGGTCAACCTCAGAAGACCTCTGGGCACAAACAGAAATAGAGTAAGAGCTAAAGGCAAGCTTAATGTACAAAGCTGGGGGACACGGGAGTTAAGAATGTATGAGGTAGAAATCAAACGTGTGGTCACTTCCAGAAAAAAATATCCTACAGTGTATTTCTAGAGCATCTTTCATCCACAGTGAATTCCAGGAAGTTATCACCTTTGAACTGGCCTCTAGACTGTAAATCATTCACTTCCTTTCCTTACCGCAGCAGTAAATACGCTAACAATGGCTTTGTTCTGGCCCGGTTGGCCCCCTGTCCCTACAGCACCAACATGCAGATGCAGAACAGCCCGGGGAGGCCCCAATGCTTTTTCAACTAAGGTAGAAGCACATTCAGTCTCATGTAATCAGAGTCCTACTAGCAACAATGCCCAAGTAATCAGAAATTGTCTCTACTGTCTATCTTTAGAAGAAATAGAAAAGTGTGTAAGAAAAATATCAGAAGTTTTGAAGCAACACATTAAAAAAATCTGAATTTGGGACAACTGGGTGGCTCAGTGGGTTAAGCGTCTGCCTTTGGCTCAGGTCATGATCCCAGTGTCCTCGGACTGAGGCCCGCATGGGCTCCTTGCTCAGCAGGTAGCCTACTTCTCCCTCTGTTTGCCACTCTGCCTGCCTGTGTTCTCTCTCTCTCTCTCTCCCTGACAAATAAATAAATAAAATCTTTTTTAAAAAATATGAATTTGTCAGGCTTATCACTATCAATAATTCAGCACACCCCCCTTCACGATACTAGATTTTCATAATTCTCAAAACTGCAACATCCTAGAACTCCAAATGCCAGCTTGTAGTCCTTTTACTCACCGCAATCAGCATATGCCAACAATAGCAAGGCACTCCCCCCACCCCCAAAAAAACCTCTGAGAGTCAAACTATTACAACCAATGGCCAGGGGCACTGGCTGGAGCATACGACTCTTGATCTCAGAGCTATGAGTTCGAGCCCCACGTTGGGTGCAGAGATCACTTAAAAATTAAAAAAAAAAAAATTCTTGAATACATAAAATAAAACCAATGGCCAGTGACTGAGATAAGCTATCTGCAAAGACAGGAAGTCTTCCAGAGTAAAAGGAAGATAAAGGGTGGAGGTCTGATCAAGGCTTGGCTGAAAATAAAAGCAAGAAGTTGCTTCCACAAAGATGCCCAAAAAAGGATATAAAAATGTGTGAATAGGAAAAAATGTGGGTTGGGATGATCAGTGTGAAACCTATAAGGTGGTGAGTCCCGGGAGTGAACTGCATCCATTTGCTACAGCCTGCTGCAGAGACACACAGAACTGAGGATGCTGGAGAGCGACCGCCTGAATGTGACCTGAATTGGCTGGGGACAGAGGTGGCTCCTCGCCAGGTCTCCCGTGCACCCAATGAGATCTGCTCTAGGGCGGTCAGCCCCAGCCTTGCTACGACCATGCTCTCTCTGGGCCCCCTTTCCATGGCTCTACTCCTTTCCCAGGTATTGGTGAGCCAACATGCAGGACGGGAAACCAAGATGTTCTGTTCACAGGAGAGGAATCTCTTACACTGTCATTAGCAAATTCACATTCTGCGTGACCTCAGTCTTGGGGAAACTTGGTCAAAATAAATGAGCTCCCTTAAGTCCAAAAGAATCCTGAATGCTTGACACAACCAAGTTCAATGCTACCCAGAGAGGCTCTGTCCAGAGGAGCACACTTCCTGTCCACCTACAAAGGCAGGAAAGTAGTTACTCATTCCTCTGCAAAGTCAGAAGCAAACCGGGTTTTCTGGTTAGCTCCTCAAGTAACCGAAAAGAAACCGAACAAAACCAGTCACAACAAAAACCTGTCTCCTGTCTCCGAGCTAATCAATACAGGTTCTCTCTTGTCACATTTAATCATCCCTGAGTTTGGCTCTCTGTCTCTTCAAAAGGGCAACCCCAGTACTTCGCTAGGGGAAGCCAGCGGCCATCCATCTCCCCAGGGCCTGCAAAGGGCTGGGAAACCAAAGCTGTAAAAATGAACATCCCCCAGGAAAGTCAATGCAGGAAGTGAAAGCTATTCATAATACATATGCTAAAAGTACTTCTCATACTAACAGGAACCCCAGGCAATGACAGGAAGCAGGAATTCCTGAGACACAGGGCCTATTTCTAGAACCGAGGGATCAGCTCCTTGAGATTATTTGGAACTCAGAGAGAGGGGACGCCCCAGAGCTACCAAGTTATCTCATGTTCGGAAAGCCCATGGCCTAGCAATTCCGGTCAGAATGAAAGAGCAGTCACCCTCCCCAATAGAGGGGACAATAATGGTTATAAATGACCAACAGGGAGAAAAGTCCTTGAGGGGATGGAAAGCATCACAAATGAGGAGCATCCATCCCCTAAGGCTGGAGGAGGTTAAGGCTCCTGAAGCATAGAACAGTCCTCGATGCCTCCCTGAAAGACCTCCCACCATGACAGAAAATAGTCCAGTCAGCCACTCTAGGGCCCGAGCTCAGAGCAGGTGATGGCTCCTCCTCAGGAGTGCTAACACTGAGGATGTTTTGGAGGGGACTGGAGTTTTTGAGTAAAGAAGGGGAGCTCTTCCCTATGTCACAGAATGTCAAGTGTCAGGAGAGAAAGCATGGAAAGACTTTCAGCCCCTTGGCAAGGGAGAGACTGAGAGACTCCTTGTACCACTGGGGGAGGGGGCTGCCATTTATGCTTAAGAACCAATGTCAGGGGTCTTCAGGGGCTGTTAGGACACTGAGGTCAAGACAACAAGGTTCAAGTCATAGTAGATCTCCTTTGCTATTCAGATAATGAAACATGGCTGAATCTCAGCACAATTCTCCATTCTCTTACCTATCAAGCTAGTAAAAACAAACAAACAAAAAACAAAACAAAACAAAAGCCTGTATGGAAAATGTGTCAAAATCCTCAATTTTGAATTGATACTTCAGTGTTTCAACACTCTTCTTACTGCCCTCTTTCTGCCCACACCCAAAACCAGGGGAAGTCCCTTTGAAACACTCATTGGATTACCAGACTCTAGCTCTCCATTAACCCATCACTCCCTACACCACCTCTTTTGCTTCCAAACCATCCAGTGAAATTTCCAGACCCCACGAAAGGCTTCAGGCCACAAGCTGTCACTCCCCATCTATTCAATCAAGCACCCGCTGGTAGTGCCCCGGTGTGGTATGTGGTGACCCTCTCTCTGGAGCCCATGAGTGGAGAGAACTCCTTCCTTCCCAGCCTCGTCTCTTCTCCTCCTGTGTCTACATCAACATCACCATATCTCACTTAACTTCTCCATTCTTAGAACAGGAGACCTGAGAGAGAATACTCTAAGAACGTCTTCTCATGTCACTCCTGAGCACTCAGGGCTCGGAGGGACGTCCCGCCTCTCAACTCACACTTGCTCCTCCCTGGAAAGACCCTGACTCAAGACAATCTGTTTTTGCACCTAGCAAAGTTACCAAGATCTAGGAGGACAAACAGGCCTGAGAAATATTGGCTCATGCCAACACAAGGTTGAAATCAATCCTGAAACTGCTGAAACTGGGATTGATTGAGGGAAGCTGGAAAAGATTTAATTCTACTTGGATAAAAGTAATTCCTGCTAGTGACTCAGACTAGACTGAGAGCCCAAAGCCAAGTTCAGCCTCTCCAGGGAACTCCATTTTTGACCAAATGGCTAGAGAAAAACCCACGCACCCTTTTACTGCTACTTTAGTGGAGTAGAGAAAAATACGTATGCTTCAAGAACGCACACTTTCCACAAAATAGAGCCTTTTTGTCTATTTTTCTCTATTTTGCTGTTTTCTCTCTCTGTGGTCACAGAGACACATGTACACTGTGGTATACCTTGAAAAATGTGTGTGTGCATGTGTGTGCATGCACACACATGCACACAAACCTGAAAGTCACTTTCGTGATTAACCCAGACCAATATAGGCATGGCATAGTCTTCAGGAAAATGACTATTCATATTCTACTCCTCCAGTCTGAAAAGCTGGAATGGCAACTGATTCTGGAAGGCAGCCTCTAAGAAACCCCAAAGATCCCTCCTTCCTGGTATTTGCGATCTTGTGTAATCTCCTTGCCTTGGGTAATTTGCATCTGACCAATACACCAAAGCAATATTGAGGGGATATCATTTTTTTTGTGATTTTTAGCTTCCATTTTACTAGCACACTTTCTGCCACTGGCTTTGAGGAAGTAAGCTACTTTGTTCAAGGTCTATGTGTGAAGAAGCTGAAGGTTATCTCCAGGCAACAGCTAGCAAGGACCCAAGGCTCTCTGTCCTCAAGGAACTGAATCCTGCCAGCAACCACATGAGAATCTTTCCCCAGTTAGTCCTTTACAAGAGACCCCATGCCTACTGCATCCCTTGTTGCAGCCTTGTAGGACCTTTTAAAGCAGAGGACCAAACTAAGCCATTCCCAGGTCCTCGACCTATAGACAAGGAATGTGTTTTGTTTATAGCTGCTATATTTGGGGGTAATTTGTTATGCAGCAGTAGATAACTGATACACTAGGGAAGCAACGGATGGGTTTGGCATGTTTTCAAGTTTGTGGGTTCCAGAGAAAATCTCAAAAGTAGAGAAGCAGAGATTGAATAGGGACAATTAAAAATGGTAGAAATCAGCAAGAGAGCAGTAGTAACAATGAATGGCATTATTCCAGAGTTCTCAACACATAAAAATGACCAATTTCAGGGTTCTAATATGACCCCCAAGGTAATCAAAGTCTTACAGGACAAATAGAGGTTAAAAGAAGGAAAAGGGAATGATTCTAGAAGGGATTAGGGCAAGAAGCATCTAACTCAATGAACATTCTGATTATTAACACTCATCACATCTAGGCTGCAATGAATTTCGACTTGTTAGCTTTAAACCAAAGACCTAAGGAGTTAAATACCTTAAAACCACCATCTCTGCTGTCCCGAGCAACCAGATGTTTAAATATGAAATTCTGACAAGATTTTGATTCTCCATGCAGTCTTATTTCTTAGAACCAGCAGTGTGTTAAATGAAACTGAATGACAGGGGTGCATGGGTGGCTCAGTCGGTTAAGCACCTGCCTTTGGCTCAGGTCATGATCTCAGGGTCCTAGGGTCGAGCTGTGTGTTGGACTCCCTGCTTCTCCTTCTCCCTCTGCCCCTCTCTACCACTCATGCTCTCCCTCTATCTTAAATAAATACATCTACAAAAAAAACAAAACAAACAAACAAACAAAAAAAACAATGACAAAATTCTACAAGAGTGGAAAAGATATTATTCCCACTGTGAGAAATAACAGAATAAGGAGGAGTTAGTGCCCCCTTATACCCTGACCCACACACCTGTGGAGGCTGCCCACTGTCTGTAGACTCCTAGGGCAGATGGAGCTCTTGGGCTGGTCAAGTGAGAGAAGCATCTGTGAATTCCAAATCTCCCTCAGTCTAACTGGAGAAACCCTTGAGCTCTAAAGCAGGGGGTGTTTTGGGTGGGGGGGCGGGGGGGAAGAAAACCAAATGGGGCTGAACTGAGCCACGGCTTTGGGTCATTTCAGTATAAATTGTGTTTTTTAAGGAAACCCTACAGCAGAGCTTCTGTACAACAGAAGTGGGAACATTAAAGAGCCAATTCAGATAATACCGAATGGCCCGTCACATCTGGGAGGGAGAGGACGGCTGTGCTGCCTGACATGTTTGTTCTGTCCGTAACATATGGCTTCTGTCTGCTGGTTCAGGCAGCCCCTCCACTGAAACTGAAGGGAAGAGGAATGGGAGGAGGATGAGAAGCAAACATCTGGTAAGTACGGGGGGTGGGGGAGGGGGGAGAGATGGTATTTAAGCTGCTGTAAAGCTCCCGGGAGTTACACAGCTGTTCCAGCAAATCAGCTCAGGGTGCCCAGGTGTACAGTGGCCCGGACAATGCAAGCATCGATTTGAAGAAAGGGGGAAAGCCTGTGCCCCAGGTTTATCAGCAGACCCTTTCCCCACCATTCTCTCGATCCCAGTGTCTCATTTTACCCTGATTTTGGGGTATTACTGACAGCATGAAATCGAGTTTCAATTCCATCACGTCACTGGATACATTCTGAAAACCTTTAACAGATTATGTAGATTTGCTGAATAATCTCTATATTAAAGTACTACTAATCCCGGTTTCATGGACATTTATACCCAGAAAATTATACCTAGTTTGTAAGAAAATTATACCTAGTTTAGTAACAACCTCATGCATCATTATTATTAGTTAACCAAATTAAATTTTAAGTTAGTCCTGCATTTCAGGTTAGTGATTTATATCAAGCCTTAACCATCTTAAACGTCTTTAGATTTCTGAAAAAAAAGTTGTGCTTAGATATGCATTCCTACTCTTTTATAATGGTAGAGTTCTTTCACTCTTTCCTCCTCCCCCCCTCCCACCAGGGAGAGAAGAGGGTGGGAAAAAATTAGAGGGAAAGCATTGCATGTATGTTTAGAGACTGCTTAAACTACCACTTCAGCCAGTGGAATAGCAACTAAAAGTCAGGCCTGACTGAAGTGCCAGATTAAGCCATTAACCAAAGACACCGAAGGATGGAGACTTCCAGACAGGTGAGTGGGTTTTCCCAAAGTTCCTGCAGCCTACACTAGCTCCCAGGAATGTCTCCACCAAGGACAGCCATATATGCTCAACAATATAGTCCAAGGGAAATTACCCTTGGCTCTGCTTTTTGACTCAAAGGACAGCTTTTCTCTTGCCCTTCAGACAATACCAAGGCTGTGTGAGTTAAGGAAGGGACCTTTTTGAGAAGGGTTCCAGCGATGTGGGGATGTTGCATCCAAGGCGATTGTCCGGAGTCACTGAGGCTGACAACCCACAGGTACTCACCAGTACACTGGTGCCCGTTGCCTGTGTAACCAGGAAGGCAGGCGCAGCTGAACGTGCTGCCTCCATGGGAAATGCACCGGGCCTGGCCAGCGGGAGCACAGGAATGACTGCCATCCTCACAGGGGTTGGGAGGGGGGCTGATCACTGAAAAGAGAAGAAGGCAAGAACATCCAAGAGTTCAGCCCTGCGAATGAGTGAGACTTGACCCTCACAGTGTGATCCCCACACCAATAGCATCAGGACATTTGAGGGCTTACATCCCAAAGCCAGTAAATCAGAATCTGACTTTGAATAAGACCCCTAGATAATTTGTAGGCTTCTTTAAGTTTGAGAAGCACTACTCTGAGTTTGTGGTTAAAACACTAGGTATGAGATCAGTCATTAAAATAGCCCTTGATTAAAGTTTATAACTCACCAGAGCTACACACACACAGTTTCTACCATCATGGCTACTTTTCCATCCCACTGGGTTAAAAAGTGTATTTTCTCTATCATCCTCTGGCTCTACCAATGGGATGAATCTGGAATCCTAGTTCTTTTGGATTTACTTTTAGGTCCAAAGATTTCTTTCTCTTTACCCTAGAAAGATTCGATTTATTACAGAGGGAGATCTATAGCTGGGCACATGGAACAAGCTTCTTTATAAATCCATTCCATTTAAATTTGAGAACTATTTTACTTCTATCTAGAATTGGTGGTATTTTAGAGGTTCAGAGTCTTGTTACATGATTGGGCCAAATACCAAGACAGATGGGAATCCCAACTCGGTGAACACCTTCTAGTAACTCAACACCAAAAGTATCTATTTAGGGAAAAACAACAACACAGGGCTGAACTGATTCATAGCTTTGGATTATTTCAAAGTAAACTATGTTCTAAACCCATATGGCAGAACTCCTGTAGGTCAGAGAAGAAACACTAAAGAATCAAAGAGCAAGGTTCAGCGCCATGTTGGCCAAAGAGATAGCATCCTAGCACTCACAGGTGCAAGTGTGCCCGTCATCTGCGAACTCATAACCACTCCGGCACTCACACCTGTAGCTTCCCAGCAAGTTGATACACATGGAGTTGGGGCCACAGCGATGGAAGCCAGTTGCACACTCATTTACATCTAAGAAGAAATAAGGACAGAAAAGTACTGCTTAAATCAAAGGTTCCCCAAGTGGGCAGGTCTGAAAACCCAATGTTTTCTCACTGCCATGAAGCGCCAACAAAACAAATAAATTAGTGTGTCTTGGGGGGGAGGGTAGTCAAAATGTAGTATTTCTAAGCATCAGATATGAATGCATGTTGTAGGTTATAATCTTTATTTGAAGTCATTCAAGTTAAGTCACAGGGAAAATAATTGAATATTCTGAGAAGTCTCTGAACAGTAAAAAATAAAACCCACTCAACATTTAAAAGAAAAACACACTAACAATTCTTCTTTCAGAAATGTAAAGGAATTTCTATGGCTTGTGGGGAAAAGGCCTTTCATGGGTGAAAGGAACATAAGGTCTGAAACCTAAAGATAACCAGAAAACATACGTTTTAGTAAATATAAGAAACACTTGCTACAGGGTTAAAATGACCAAACTTGAGAGCTCAAAATATGCAGGAATTGTAATACGTGTCTCCTTTTCCCAGTCCCAACCCCAAATACCCACCTCCCAACTATCCTCTCAACTCTAACTAGAATATGCTTTAGTGTTGAAATAAGAGATTTAGGTTAACAGCTGCTAAACGTGTCTGGTGCATCAGCAAAGACCCTTAAACAGACATGCCAGGCTTTGGTAACACAGAGCTGGAGGAGCCTGAGAACGGACAGAGCCCATACAACTTACCCACACAGCTGCGTCCATCTCCCTGGTACCCAGAGGCACACTCACAGGTGTAGTCTACCCCTGCCCCTGGATGGCACTGAGCCCTCATGTCACATGTGTGTCTCCCATCGTAGCAAGGATTCACGTGGACGGGGTCTGAGTTCCCTGCATGGGTAGAGAGGAAATAGATCACACAAGCACAATGTGGTTGTTATAAAGAGAACGGCATGGTAGGGAGATCAAGGACTCCTCGGGATCGACCGCTTACTCCTCTCTTTGTGGGGGACCACCTGGAGACCTTGCTAAAATATTAATACCCCAAGCTGAGCTGGATTATTTAAGTTGCAGTATTAAATTCAAGAATGGCCTACCCTACAGACAACTAACCTTTTCTTGCTTACAGTAGTCCGGGGAATAAAAACATCCCAATACATAGCATAATTTTTTGTAAAGCGCTCTCACTCGATCACCTCGTGTGATTCTCAGGATGACTTTGTGAGGGGCGGTCATCCCCATGATCGGTAATTTTTGCAGAGAAGTGCAAGACATCGGAAAAATTGCCCCAGCTCACAAAGCCAAGAAGTGGTACAGCAAGAGCTCATACCCCAAATTTCTGCCTCAACACTGGGCAGTCTCTCACTAAAATTCACTAATTCCTAAGTCAACATTTAATAACTGGGAAAATCTTGCTTTTTTAAGATCGGGAAGACTAAAGAGGAATGATTTTTGTGGTATTACTTATTAGGATTAACCTGGCTACAGACCCATCCATTCACTAGGTAGAGAAATGCTCAGTATCTGAAACCTTCCCTAGAGAGTTTTGTTTCTGGATAGAACACAATAGTAATGCTCATTGTAAACTTATTTGCCAGGCACTGTTCTAAAACCTTTACATATACCATCCCTTTAAATCCCCTTGACTACACTGTGAGGCAGGTATTAATATCTTCATTTTTACTACAGCACAGAGAGGCCTCGTAACCTGGCAAAGGTCACACAGCAGCAGCTGGAGCAGGGATAAAAAGCCAGACTCTCTGTGCTTGCCCCCCACTTTGCTAAGCCACCACCAAAGGAACTTCATAAAGTTAGCTAAGCCAAGGGCACAGAGATGATGTGGGAAAGAACCCCAGACACAATGAATCCATTAACTCTGGGCACTTCCATTCACTCCTCTGATTCCTCAGGTGTAAAATAGAAATAAAGATAATACTTAAATCTGCTACAACTGAAGAAAATAAAGAAAACCTGATATAATATATGTAAAAGACAATCCTCCCTCTTCCCCCCCCTCATGCCCCCCCCCCCCAATGAGGCCTACCCAGTCCCCAGGGATGACGTTCCTTCTTCCTCCTCAGTGGGACCCCTGCTCGTCCTCACTTGGTTTCAGCTTTGTCTCAGTCCCTAGAATTAATTCTGATCTTAGATCTAAAAGATTTCAGGAGCTTTACCCAAACCTCCCAGGCTTCATGTCAAGCCATCCTGGCTACCAATGGGGCTTCGTCTGTGATAACTTGAGCTTCTGCCTTGGATTTCTGCCTGTGCCCCAGTCCCTATCTTGACAGCCAGCTCAGCACACCCCAAGTCCTACCTTGCCCTCAGCTGTTCACACGGCACCACAGACCAGCATCTTGGCATCAGTAGACACGGTGACATTACCACCTACTTTAACTTCCTAGTACCACTTTCTCCTGGATTCCCTCTCATTTCTCCCTAGCTCACCCACATCTCTCACCCCTCTTACCTCAAGCAGTTAGGCCTTTTCCAAGTAACTACTAGTCTAGACCCAAGGGCTTGCTGCTATCACATGCCCCAGACTGGATTCCCCCCCACCCCGTCTTTCAGGAGGTCCAGCACCACTTGCCCCACTGCCCACATGGACTCTTCCAATATTCTGTGTTAGTCTGCTGTGAACTGGGATGCCTTGGCTGAGTCTCCAAAGGGACCTGCTTGTATTCTGGTAAATTCCTCCCGTTGCCTTAGAAAAAAACCCCACTGTGTGTTCTTGCAGGGGAATATTCTTATTCCCATATTGTGACCTAAAAAGAAATAAAGGAGGGCCACCAGCTTATCCTTGGATTGCCTCGGTGATGCTGGCTGGAGTAGGTTACAGAATCTTTGCCAAGAAAAAAAGACCAACAAATGGCTCTGGCACTTTCTTTTATTTTTTTTTTAAATTTTTTTATTTTTTAAAGATTTTATTTATTTGACAGAGAGAGAGAGATCACAAGTATGCAAAGAGGCAGGCAGAGAGAGGAGGAAGCAGGCTCACTGCTGAGCAGAGAGCCCGATGTGGGGCTCAATCCCAGGACCCTGAGATCATGACCTGAGCCGAAGGCAGAGGCTTAACCCACTGAGCCACCCAGGCGATTCTGGCACTTTTTAAACCTGATGAACTTCAGTAGGTCACCGTGAGCCTAGCTTCGCATAGCAAACAGACACCCTTGTGTGTTCCCCGTTCTTCCCTCTGCATCTCCTTGTGGAAAGGATGGAAGCACAAGGCTGGGGTTGCAAGGCAGTACAGACCAAGTCCCTGAGACAGTCCCCAGCACGGTTAGAGCTAAGAACAATAAGGTCGTGTCCTCACTGAAGGCCTGATGCAAGACAATACTGACTTCTCCATTTTAGGAGAAGATTCTGTATAAAATGCCTGGCCTACCCAGCCAAAGTAGGAAGGGAGCTCTGACATGTTTTTGTTTGTACACACTAATGCCTGACCTCCTTGCTCAGTACTTTCCAGCATCCGATTTGCACAGCGGCACATTCGGGCAAAGATGAGTAAGCGTGCGGAGATGTCGAGAGCGGACCACCTGGCCGGGCATGCAAAACCTGCAGTGCAGAGGTGGACTTTCCAACCTGGATGGGATACCCTGGCCCACCTGAAACTGAGGCTAAAAGGGGTCCATAATTACAGGACACTGATTTAAAATATACATCACTGACAGGATGGGCCACATAATTCACAGAGCCCGGTGCAGGACAAAGATTGGGGAGCCCCTTGCTCCAAAATTAAGAGTCTCAAGAGGACAGCAGCTGAACATTAAATCCTTCTGGGCACAGGCTCTGTTCATGGAATTTGGCTTCTAAAACCCTTGTTTTAGAAATACATTTCTGGGGCACCTGGGTGGCTCAGTGGGTTAAGTGGCTGCCTTCGGCTCAGCTCATGGTTCCAGGATCCTGGGATCGAGCCCTGCATCAGGCTCCCTGCTCAGTGGAGCCTATTTCTCTCTCTCCCTCTGCCTGCCGCTCTGCCTGCTTGTGATCTCTATCAAATAAATAAATAAAATCTTTAAAAATATATTAAAGCCACGTGGCTGTGCCTTCTCTACAGCGTGTTGGCTTTTTCCTCTTACAGCAAGGACAATGGCAACCTCCTTACGACGAGTTCGATTTCGCCCTCACCCTCTCTAACAGCTTGACTCCCTGCCAGGAGATCTGGAACTAATTTACTCATTTAATCAAGAAGAAAAAGAATAGTTTTCCTTCAAGGAACAATCCGTTCCACTTCCCCACGTGGCCCTCGGCCCAGTCTCCTCAACTCGCCAGAAGGAGCCCTGAAGTGGGCGCAAGGGTGTCCCATTCTAGAAGCCCAGGAGAGACCGCCGACCCACAGCTTAAGTGCAAACACTTGGCAAGGTGTGGGGGCCGCGGCTGGGGAGCCAGCCGGGCCCCAGGCTCTGACGGCTCAAGGGGCAGATACAAACCCAACAGCGCAGCCTCCCCAGCCCTGGAAAACCACGAGTGCCCCCATCAATGGGGAGGCCATGCTGTGTCCCAGACATCCCAGCCTGACCGTCACTCCCCCTGGAAAGAGGGAAACCCTCAAGATGACACTGCTCTGCATGGAGGGTGGGAGAGAGAGGCGCAGGGGTAAGGGGGAAGAGGTTTCATTTTGTCGTCTGTCCCCCCCCACACACACACCCATTTTTTTCCTGTTCAGGAAGCATAAACCGTATTGCAATTCTCTATAGGGGTGGATGTGACAGGGTACAAAACCCACAGGGTTAATTCCCTCTTGAAATTCAGCCCAATTTTTGAGGCTGTCCTGGGCCAGCAAAGTCCATGTGGGAAAGCAGTGCCAGGCAAGGGGATGGAGTGGGTTCTGGAGCTGGTGCCCAGGACTGGGTTCCAGCTGGCCACTTTATAGCTATGACTAGGCAAGTTACTTCATGTCTATTCCTCAGTCTTTATAAAATGGGGGATGATGATCCCCCTACTCAGTGAGGGGTTGTATGTGACTAAAAGAGGTCATGAAAGTACTCAGAGCAGGGGTGGGCACCAAGAAAGCTATCCTTTGCTAGTGTTAGGATCTGACTTGCATGGAAAGGAAAATCACATAAAGTTCTAAAGACAAATTAGCAGTTTGTACCTACCAGTTTGCTGGCATGCTTTCTGTTACTCCTATCTGGTCAGTCTCCAGGAAAAATACACCCAGAGATTTATCTTTTCCCTACATGATTCTAGAATCAGAGTGGGATTCCTTGGCCCGAGGAGGCTTCTTCACTAATCCTTGTTTTTACACATCAGACACCTCACACTCAGCGAAGGGCAGAAGGTTTTCCTCCGTTGTTTTTGTTCAAATCTTTTCTTGAGAAAGAGGCAATAATCTTTTCCCTTCTTCCAAGGTACTTTTCTTTAAAACCAACTGACATTTTCATGCTATTAATTCAATACCTTATAATCCTTGGGCGCCCAATGCCTGCACCCCCAAGCAAGTTTCCTAAAACCAAACCACCACCCAACCCGCACCAGCAAGCTCATATTCACATTTCAAGTCATCCTCGTGTCCTTGAAGAGTCCAGGCCTCTGGCCTTAATCTCGGTACCACATTGCTGAAGTGACCGTCACCCTGAGCAGGAGGATCCTTCTGGAGCCCTCCTCTCCCATGCTGAGTCCTAGAATCACCTCTTAGAGGCACCAATCCGGGCCTCAACTATATCAATATGGAGCCACATGTGGGAAACCCTCTCTTTTCTCCTCCTGTGCCCCCACATTCTAGGGAAAAGCACTAGCTACTGGCTTTCAGAATTAAAACATCCCTTGTGAGCACCTGGATGGCTCAGTCAATTAAGCGTCTGCCTTCAGCTCAGGTCATGATCTCAGGGTCCTGGAATCGAGTCCCACCATCGGGCTCCCTACTCAGCTGAGAGTCCGCTTCTCCCTCTCACTCTCCCTCTGTTCATGCTCTCGCTCTCAAAAAATTAAATATAAATACATAAATAAATTAATAAATCCCCTTCATCTGATAATTTCCTCCCTGCTAGGGTTCTTGGACTTTGAAGGCTCATCTTCTAGCTCGCCTAAACATTTTTTTTTTAATCTTTATTTTTAAAGACCAGTTTGAGGTTTACAGAAAAACTGAGCAGAAAGTAAAGGTTCCATACTCTCCCCTTCCTCCAATTTGCAGTTCATTAGCTCCTTGTATTAGTGTGGTACCTTTATAACTGATAAACCAATACGGATATATTTTTACATAAAGTCTCTAGTTTATGTTAGGGCTCACTCTTTGTGTTACGCAGTTGTATAGGTTCGGGCAGAGGTACAAAGACACGTGTCCACCATTCCAGCAGTATACAGAATAGCTTCACTGTCCTAAAAATCCCGTGCTCTCCCCCATTCACCCTACCTCCCTCCCCCTGAACTCCTGGCAACCACGGATCTTTTTATTCTCTGTAGTTTCACTTTTCCTAGAATGTTCCATACAGTTGACCCTTGAACAATGTGGAGATTAAGCGTGCTGACCCCGTGCGTAGCTGAAAATCTAAGTAACTCTTGACTCCCCCCAAACCAATAGTCCATTGTTGACCAAAAGCCTTCCCAATAATACATATTTTGTGCATTACATGCATATAGTCTTATAATCAAGTAAGCTAAAGAAATGTTAAGAAAATCATAAGAAAATACATTTTCAGTACTGTATTGGAAAAAAATCCACATAGGAGTAGCATGCCCAGTTCAGACGTGTTGTTCAAGGGTCACCTGTAGTTGGAACAACACTGAGGTAGCTTTTTCAGATTGGTATCTTTCACTTAGCAATATGTGTTTTGGGTTCCTCACGTCCTTAATGCTTCATAAGCCTAGAACATTTTTACCATCATATTTATTGAACTTCACAGGTATGGTTGATTCTAACTGAAGTTTGAGAAATACTGCTTTAGGTGTTTTTTTTTTTTTCTCCCTACAACTATTTTTTTTTTTCCAGTTAGGATAGAACTCACAAACCATATAATTCACACATCTAAAGTACAAAATTCGATGTTTTTTAGTATACCTACAGTGACACAACCATCACCCCCATCAATTTTAAAACACTTTAATCCCCCACAAAAGAAATTTGTACTCTTTGGCTATCCATTCCTTATCCTATTATTCCCCAGCCCGAAGCAACCACTAACCACTGTCTTTGTGCATTTGCCTCTTTTGGATATTTCCTTAAATAGAATCAAGCAGTATGTTGTCCTTGGTGACTAGTTACCTTCTCTCTGGAAATTTTCAAAATTCACTCCTATCAGTATTTCATTCTTTTTTATGTGTTGATAATATTCCGCTGTATGGTTATAGGACATTTTAAAAATCCATTCACTGGGGCACCTGGGTGGCTCAGTGGGTTAAGCCACTGCCTTCGGCTCAGGTCATGATCCCGAAGACCTGGGATTGAGTCCCATATCGGGCTTCCCCTGCTCTGCAGGGAGCCTGCTTCTCCCTCCCTCTGCCTCACCCCCTGCTTGTACTCTCTCTGTGTCAAATAAATAAAATCTTTAAAAAAATCCATTTATCAATTGATGGACATTTGGGTTGTTTCTACCTTTTGGCCATTCTGAATAATGCTGCCATGAACATTTGTGTTACGTTTTTGTGGGGACATAAACTTTCATTTCTCTTGGTTATATAGCTAGGAGTAGAATTGCTCAAGGGGTAACTCTGAGTTTAACTTTGAGAAACTGCCAGACTGTTTTCCACAGGAGGCATACCATTTTGTAGTCCCGCCAATAGTGTATGAGGGTTTTATTTTTTCCACATCTTCTCCAATACTTGTTATTATCTGTTTTTTTTTTTAAAGATTTTATTTATTTATTTGACAGAGAGAGATCACAAGTAGACAGAGAGGCAGGCAGAGAGAGGGAGGGAAGCAGGCTCCCCGCTGAGCAGAGAACCCGACACGGGACTCGATCCCAGGACCCCGAGATCATGACATGAGCCGAAGGCAAGCGGCTTAACCCACTGAACCACCCAGGCACCCTATTATCTGTTTTTTATTATAGCTGTCCACATTTATGTAAAGTAGCATCATTTTGGTTTTGATAGTGTTTGCATTTTCCTGATGACTAATACCGAGCATCTTTTCACGTGCTTTGGGTGTTTGTGTATCTGCTGACAAATGTTTTATCCAAATTTTTTCTTGTTGTGTTTTAAGACGTCTTCATATATTCTAGATACAAGTCTCTTATTAAATAAAGGATTTTCAGGGGTGCCTGGGTGACTCAGTTGGTTAAGTGTCTGCCTTTGGCTCAGGTGATGATCCTGGGGTCCTGGGATCAGGTCCTGCGTCAGGCTCCCTGCTCAGCAGGGAGCCTGCTTCTCACTCTTCCTCTGCAGCTATCCCCCCTGCTTGTGCTCACTCTCTCAAATAAAATCTTTACCAAAAAAAACAGGATTTTCAAATATTTTTATCCCATTCTGTGGGTTGTATGTTCACTTTGTTGATAATACCCTCCAAATCACAAGTTTTTAACTTTGGTGACACCCAACGTTTTCTTTCATTGCTTATCCTTTTAGTATCCTCTCTAAAGAGGCCATTGCCAAATATAGAATCACAAAAATTCATCCCTATATTTTTTTCTAAAATTTTAGCTAAATTACATTAACATCTTTGACCCATTTTTGGTTACTTTTTGTATATCGTATGAGATAGGGGCCCATCATCATTCTTTAGCTTATCCAGCTATTCCAGAACCAGGTGTTAAAAACAAAAACAAAAATAAAAAACCTACTCTCCTCACTGAACTGTTTTAGCAACTTTGTCAAAAACCAACAGATGGTAAATGTGTTTATTTATGGATTCTCAATTCTATGCCATTGATCTGTAGATCCATTCTTATGCCAGGACTGCATGGCCTTCATTACTCTAAGGTTTGAAATTAGGAAGTGGAATTCCTCCAAATTTGTTCTTTTTCAGTATTGTTTTGGCTATTCTGGGTTCCTTAAATTTTAGGATCAGTTTCTCAGTTTTTGCCAAAAAGCCAGCTAATAGGATTGTGCTGAATCTATAGATCAATTTAGGAAGCCTTGCCATGTTAATACTAAGTCTTCTGATTCATAAACATGGAATTCGGTCTTCTTATTTTCTTTTTATTTAGGCCTTAGTTTTTTTTTCCAAAAAAAAATGCTTTATAGGTTTTAATGGAAAAGTACCATACTTAGAATTTTTTTTTTTATTCCTAAACACTTTTGGGACCAGAATCATTTAAAATTTCCTGTTCAGTTTGCTCATTGTTACTATATAGAAATACAAGAGCAATATACAAAACTCATAGCCTGCAACCTTGCTGACCTTACTAGTTCTAACAGTTTAATGAATTAGATTTGCTACATATAAGATTACATCACAGGGGAACAGAGATAATTTTACCTCTTCCTCTCCAGTCTGGATGCCTTTTATTGTCTTGCCTAATTTCCCTGGGCTAAAACTTCCAATCCAGTGCTGAGCAGAAGTGGCAAGAGCATATGTCCTTGTCTTGTTCCTGATCTTAGAGGAAAAGCATCCAATCTCTCCTCCTCGAGCACAATGTTAACTTGGGTTTTTCTTACATGTGGTTCATTTTGTTTTTCCAGGCACTGGCTCTCTCTCTCTCTCTCTCTTTTGGCTCTGTCTTACCTTGACTTGGTGAAATCTGTCTCCTCTAAGTTCTAGCTAAAATGTCACTTTCCAGTGACCTCTTCCCTAAACCTCCAGACTAGGCTCCTAGTAACTTGTTCTCATGACAATTGTAACAAATACTCGTCAGCATCATTTTCCCTCCTGACTTGGCCTCACCCTGTTCATAGGCACATATACGGTGTTTGACTACAGACCAGCTTCACATGTTGTACTCTAATTCATTTGGCAGGGACACTGTTCTAAAAGTTCCATTTCTATCTCTGTCTCCACCTCCAAGACGAGACCCCTACTTTATTCATCCTTACCCTCTGCACCTAACAGAGCTTGGCGCTCAGTAACCCTTTGGAACTTCTGTGAATCATTCTGAGGTGACTCAAAAACAAAGAAATGTTAGATTCCATTTTTGCCCAGAACAACAGAAGGAAACATACCTTCAACTGGGCCAATCTGATTGGTCACGGCAAATCTAAGCACCTTTTCTTCATCTGTGTACAAGGTAAAGACCCGGTCCACGTTCAGCTGCTGGGTGGTGGGGACGGCCAGGTGTCTGGGGGCATGTCTGCAGGCCTCATAAGTGATGTTCTGGTAGATGCGGTAGGACCGTGTCTGGTTGATAGCACCAGAGGTGAGTGAGTAGTCTCTGGAACTTGTGGAGGTCACAGCTGCAAAAGATATTAGTCAGCCCAACTGGTAAATGTTTAGAATATTAGAGAGTTTCATGTGAGGTAGATTTTTTTTCCTGTAGAGTTTTTCATCTAATGCCTAGATCATGCTCCTTTGGGAAATTCCTGAGTTTATATGGAAAACCTGTGAGGCAATTCCGGGAATCTGAGCAGATGCAAAGCCAAAGTGTTGTCATTGCTGTCATTATTAGCAAGGAATTAATGCTGCTCCTACACACCAGCCACGCCAAGCGCTCTAAAGCATGGTCTTGTTCATGCCTCATACCAGCGAGGTGGGCTCTGTGACCATGTAGAGGGAGCCTTACAGAGGTCGGGAAGTAGCCTAAGACATGAGGCTAATGTGTGATAGAGCTGGACCAGGAACACGAGTCAGCCTGTCCATACTTCACATTTTCAATCGGTCCACTCTCTAGATGACACAGGCGTGACCGTTCCCAACACTCTGCACTTAAGTCCGAAGGGTTCTGGGCAAAGGAATGGGTCGTTTCTCTCAGTCTGTGTGGAGTCGGAAGCCCGGGCCAGTGCTCCGGCCGTCAGCTGTTCTGTTCACTGTCCGGGTCTCCACTATCCCATTCTCCTCCCTTCATCTCCTGCCCAGCTTCCAACTCTCACATCACAGGAGGAAAGGCACGGCTCAAAGCAGACTGTTCTGCTGCAGGACAGCAACCAGGCCTAAGCCAGCATCTCGCATCCAGAGCTGGTTTTCTAGAACTCATCAGGACTGACATGTATCAACCACAGAAGGCAAGGAGAAGAGGTACTCTTGTGCTCATTCAGAAGAGAAGAAAATGGGCTCTTTGATGGTCAGTGACCTTATCCCTGTATATTTTCAACTACAGATCCGTGATATGAATGTCTATCCTCTGACTCCAAATCTAGCATTTGTTTACAACACTGTGAGGCATCTCATCTTCAAACAGGCTGAAACAGGGTACAGAAGGAGTAAAAATTCCAAAAATCCCTATTTTCCTGTGGCCCGGATGGTTAAAAACTCTATGTACTTAGACAAGCCCCACCCCCAGAGGTAAGGTCGCTGTTGCTGACCTTATCACCGGCATTACCTTAGTCCCGGGATGGATGCTGGTATTCATCTGGGTAGCCAACACTTCTCACTTACACTGTGTATTTGATAAGAGTAATTAGAAGGACATGGGCCTCCTTTTATGTACCACACGCTGTTCTAAGGACATTCCATGTAATAACTCATCATCCTTACAACTATCCTGTACATTACCTACGCTCCCCACGCTATACGGTCACAACTGGAGATACATACCTGAGTCTGAGTAGTGGTAAATCTCCTTGTAGGGAGCTATATGGACAGTGAAATTCACTGGGATGTAAGGCACCTGGCCTTGAATGTCGGTCTTAATGCTCAGATAGTTCTCCGGGTCAAGTCCCTCGGCAGTCTGAGTGATTCGAACCCTCTCTTCTCCTGGGTAGAAAGTAACTTCCATCTCATGTGTAAAGGAAGCACCTGGGGAGGAAGAAAGACTTCAGCACAGAGCCAGGATGAGCTGTAGCCTCTTCCAGCAATAACTAACCATGCACACTTCTGAATTTCTACTGCTGTCGGAGATGGCGCCTAAGAAGAGCGTCTGATTTCAAGACCAGGTACGATCAGCTGCTGATTCCAACAGTTCCCCAAATTTTCTATTTAACAGTGATTTCATCCTGCCTCGTTTCACACCGCTTCTCCTTCTAACAGCTTGTTTTCTGTGAGAAGCTACTAGGAACATCTTGACCTTTCTCTTTGTAAGGCTGCCACATTTGAAAAACAAACAAGCACAAAGAACTTAGGACCCCCAGTTAAATTTTGATGTCAGATAAATGAACATATTTTAGTATATGACGTCTCATACAATATTTGGCATATAGTTTTACTAAGCTGCTCAGATGATGATTGTTTTACTCAAAACTCAAGGAAAATCAAGATCCTCCAAACAGCTCTGGAGTCTGTAGCCGGAGGTGGGAGAAGAACTTTTCTCTCAGTACATTCTCAGTGATGAAGACACATCCAGGAGGAAATAAGCCTTTTCAGGTAGGAAGGAAGGAGCCCCAAAGTATCCTCTACGCCCTTGCTATCAAAGGGTGGTCCTTAGGCCCGCATGAGCATCTCCGGGGAGCTTGCTAGGAAACCAGAAGCACAGACCCCACCCCGGGGCCCACAGAGCCAGAATTCCATCTTTTCACAAGGGCTGCAGGCCATCTGTGGGCAGGTTAGAGTCTGAGAAGCACTGGTCTGTACCATTATTGGTCAGAGTGGTGGAGGTGAGAGGAGGAAGGACGTTTACTCACGAAGGAAACCCCTCTCCAGATGCCCTCTAATCACCACTTGTGCATGAGTCGCTTGACAGATCTGAGCCTAACAACTCAAGCAAACACAGCCTGACAAACAAGCTTCAACCAATTCAGGTGAGAGGACCTACATGTTCCAAAGAAAATCATCCTATTTCTCAGGACAACGTGGAAGAACGTGTGGAAGAAATCAGTCTTTCAAAAACACTCCTGTGAGACCAAACCGTTCCCAACTATCTCCTCACAGAAAACAAGACACCTGAGGTTCTGGAACACAAAACAAACCAATCCTCACTCATGGAATAAAGACCAGAGCATGATGGCAGGTGACCAGCAGCCCCAACAAAGGCCTCTCCTACTCACCTGTGAAGCTGAAGCCGTTCTCCCAGCCTGGTTTTTGTAAAGCGAAGAGCCAGCCAAATAGGCCTCCGATCGGTATGAGCGGGAGAAGGGCTTGGGCGGCGGGCTGAGGGATGTGGCTGATGGCCGTGTAGGCTCTGCCGTCATTACCCACGATGTAAGCGTGCAGGTCCACGTCCGTGAAGTGCACGGGCATGTGGCCCACGAGGAGGTGGCCACTCACTTTCCCGTTGACTCGATGAGGTGCCCCTGAAAGAGAGCAAATCCCGTCAACTTGGACCATCGTTGTCCAGGTTGGTGATGGGTGCACAGAAAATTATTCCTCTCCCAATTCTCAAACTCAGTCTTTGGCCATGCTCATGATCTCGTAACTGACCGAAAACAAACCTGTTTTCAATTTCTTTTCTCCCATCCTCCCCTTCTCCCGTCCACTTGGACTCTAATGAGCTGGCAAAAAGGAGGAAAGAATTCTGCCTAATCCTCAAGTCGGGAAAGGAGCCCAAATGGGTTCATTTCTCAAACTTCTCCAGCACCTGCGAGTTGCCAGGACTTTGATTCATGCAGCGGAAATGCAGGGTCCAGAGGCAGAGCTCACAGTGGCGGTCGTAAACAAGTGAGCAGCAAGACATACACAGCGCAGCTCCCAGCCCGGCCAAGGGCTCACCCCTTACCTTCTGGGAGACAGTGCTTCCCATTTCCGTAAAACCTGGACTGGCAGTGGCAGCAAAAGCCGGTGGCGTAGTCGGTGCAGAAGGCGTGCCGGGAGCACTGTCCATGGTGGTGTTCACAGGTTTCTTTGTTGGCAGCATTATACGTGAAGACTGGAAAGCAGAAACCAACTTGTGTTAAAAGGATTGATTCCAGCATCACTGCTGTCAAGCTTCGTTACGGGCAGCACATCTGCTCTGTAAAATCAGCTTAAATGGTAACAAACAGACGGGTTTTTGATGTTTAAGAGTTACGAACAACATCCAGCCCAGGGGAATTAACTTGTTTGGTCTTCTGGCAAGGAAGACAGCTGACGGCTCCCGTCTGCTCTCAGTTCAGGGCTGGGGAAGTGGGAGGAGGCTCACCCCTCTGGTGTGAGTGCAGGAACAGAAAAACCAACCAGGAAGCACGTGTTAGGCCAGACTGCCCAAAACTGCCGTCCTGTGGGTATACAGTGGTCAAATAGCAACAATTATATGTGGATTGACCTGAAAGTAATGACCCTGACAATAATGACCCCAAGAGGAAGACCAGAGAGAGAAATCATGAATGCAGTCTCAGGTCCAAGCACTGTCTTCTTCCGGGAGAACCCTGAACCTAGAGAGAACAGCTTGTAGCTTGTCTCACTGTGCAGGGAAGTAGGCTTTCTTTCTGAGAAGGGTCTTCAAGAACACATACAAAGAAAGTCTATGGGAAGGGAAGAGGGGTATCCAGCTGGTAAATGCCCAATGCCTGTGTAGAGTTTCCGGCGGCCAGTATGTCACAAGCAGATTGCTGCCCAGTATGAGAGTGTGGGCTACAATCACAGCTCTTCTAGGGGACCCGAGTGGACCGGTAGTGACTCCTTCCATCTTCCACTTATTCTTCCCATTTAAAAAAAAAAAAAAAGAGGGCCATCTGTACTACCAAGAAACAAAGAAATTGGAGCAGATGCCATTGTCCATAAAGGAAATGGCTAACGGAGTGGGGCGTGGCTGGGGGTGCTAATGGAGAAGAGAGGGCTTTCTCTGGACGCCAGGGATGATGCTAGTTCTGAGCATGGCCAGCAGGAAGCAAAGCAGCAGGGCACACCTGGCCTGAACCTCCGCTGGGGGAAGGAGTTGGGAGGCAGACTCTAGGCGCACAGGGGCAAGAAGGGACAGCGCAGAAGCCTAGCGCTGGACCCCGCTGTCACTGTGAGGGGCCAGCTCCCGAGGAAGACAGATAGCCTGCTCCTGGGGAAACCCAGCTGGCAGCTGTGTTCCAGGTCTAGGTCTGAGGAGGAAACCTCCCTTCCAAGGAAGGAAAGATGTAGCACCACGTAACACCAGAACCAGAGACATATCAACCAATGAAAACAGAACAGTTACCATTTAAATAGTGCTTCCTCTATGCCAGATACTGTTCTATGAAATTCACTCAGGCTTTCAATTTGCATACGAGCAGGGGCCATTTTTATTCCCTTTCTGCAGATGAACAAGCTGAAGCACAGACGAAAGGGACTTTTCTGAAGTCACCCAGGCAGTAGGTAGCAGAGTTGGAACTTGAACTCAGGAGGTCTGGCTCCAGATTCCTAACAGCCGTACTCCAGTGGAACCCAAGTACCTAGCCCCAGGGAGCAAGGTTAAGGACCTGATCAGGTGTTTGAGGTTATCAGCATAGGGTTTGGCAAGTCTGACGTGAGGCATACTTTATAAATCAAGCCTAATGGTAGGAGGGAGCAGAGATGATCCTGAAGGGACTTACAGCATGCTGGGTGGGGGTGGGGAGAGAGGCACAGGAAGAGCATTAACTTTTAGACAGTACTTGTCTGATGCTTACAGATTCCTGAGAAAGCAGCAGACTGAGGGGTTGGCAAGACAGGTAATACAGTCTCAAGCAGAACATCTGGAAGCACTGGGAGAATGAAATCAGGGACTCAAGCCCTGGTATATAGCGCCTTGATAACACAGCTGAAAAACTCCAGTTTGATAAAAATAGAAATTTAGGCATAACCCTGAACATTTTTTTTTAAATAGGAAAGGGATATAGAACTCACATTCCCCTTTCACCTCTCCCCCTCCAAAAAATCCCAGAATGGTGAATATAGACTCTCTTGTGAAGGAAATTCTATCACTGTCTACCATTGGTTTAAGAAGTCCAGAGGGACCCAGTTTGAGTAAAAGAAAACCAATGGTGGGGGGGAGGAAAAAAAAAAAAAAGGAAAAGAAAAGGAAAAAGAAACCAATGTATCTTGTCAGTCTCCTGTTTCTCCAGCTCTGAAGATAACTGCTAAGTGTAAAGAAGCGTGTGTGGACAAACTCGCATGCGGGCAGGTACTCAGGCAGGACTCCCCTCTAGAACAGGTGGGGAGGGCCGTGGCTGTGGGTGGAGAACTGCAGGGGCCCCCAACCCTTAGAACTCAACCTTGGCCGTGACTCAGGTGGTTCTGTGAAACCGTAGGAAGTCACAGTCTCTCTGTTCGCTCCTCTTTAAAATCAGGGTGACACCCTCTCACACCTCCGTTGCCAGAAATCACATTTTTTCTGAACACACTTCTAAGTACTAAGGAAAAGACGCAATCTAATACAGGTCTAAAGGGTAGTCATTTTCAGGTTAAGTCGAGTAAAAATAAAACCAAACTCTAAATACTGTTCTCCAGAATTAAAGAAATGGTGGATTTATGGTATATTCCCTCTATTTGTTATTTGGGGAAGACTTGTCCTTGCCCTCAGTCCCCATTGCAAGAGTGGGTCAATCGAACAGGGAGAGATGGGATGCAGGAAGACAACAGATAGGGCAGGTTAGGTTAATTTCCCTAAAAGGCGCAGGCATGGCTTTCCTATGGGCAAAAGGAGAGGAGCTCCGCAATGCAGCCAGCAACTTACAAAGGCGACTGGGCAAAAGTTTGAGCTGGTTGCCATACGGACTGCATTTTTCTCACAACAAGAAATAGTGGTTAGGCTCCCATGAAAGGCCATTAGGAAACTGAAACTCTAATTATGACAGGTTACTGGTTACTGGGAAGCTGGCTCAGGGACATTCATAAGCAGCTCTGTGGGATACTGCATTCTCAGAGTGGAGCTTATTGAGTTAAAAATAGAAGTTCAGCCTTCCAGCCTCATGACAGCCCATAGGGAAAGAAGATGGGTTTGCTCCTAACAGGGGGAACACGGGCTCCTCTTACAATCCCTTTCTCGTGCCTGCCTTCACAGACACAGGCACTTAAAACTTAACAACATCGGCTTGTTGGGAAAGAGGTAAATACCTATTGCTCTTTTCTTTCATTTATTAATTCAGCAAATAATGGGAGCACCCACTATGGGCCTGGCTCTGACCTAGGAATTAGGGATGGAGCAGACAAACATTGTGTCCCAAAGCTCACATTCTCCTAGGCAGCAGTGAACAAACAGGTAAATTATTTAGTACAGAGGTTGTCATTAAGAGCTGTGCAGAATCTTAAATCAGGGAAGGTCAAGAGGGCTGACAGGGGAGGGGACTTTGCTCTTTAAAGCAGCGGGATCAGGAAAGACCTTGGGAGAAGGTGACCTCCGGACATTGGCCTGGAGGCAGGGACAAGCAGGACCCAAGGCACATGGGAAGAGGAGCAGGGGCAGTGAGAGAAGCCCGGGGAAGTTCTGGCCAGTTGGCAGAGGGCCCTGTAGGTTACGGGAAGGAGCTGGGCTTCCGTCTGAGCGAGAAGGGGAGTCACTGGGACATCTGGAGCAGAGGAGGGAGGACATCAGACTTACGATACTTCGAGAATGAGCCAGTAAGCATGTGCCCTGGCAGATGGAAGCGCTGTTGGAAAAAAGAAGAGCCCAGAATATGGAATATTTTGAAGGAGCAGGCAGTGTTTGCTGATGGGTTGGATGGAGCCGATTAAGGGAGCACGGAGGGGGAGAAGGCGATAGCAAGGGAGAAAGAGCTGTGAGAGAGGAGACAGAGCAGAGAGAGAGAAGTCCATGTGATGTTCACATCTTGGCAAGCTGCCGTCTCCTGAGACAGGGACACCGTGGCGGAGCAGGTCTGGGAGCAATCCGTCCCAGCAAAGCTTGGAAGCATCTGGGAAGCTCTGCCCCCCTCTGACAGGACCTACAGCCTCAGCAGGGCCCCCATCCAACCACACAGAAGTGGAGCTGCATTTCTCTGTGGATTGGGGAGGAGGGACCAGTGCATCCGAATCACCTGGGGTGCCCATTAAAAATGCCAGTTCCCAAGGCACACCTTAGTGCTACTGCTTCACACTCCAGCAGCGGAGCCCGGGCATCCGCTCCTGAGCCACTCCCCTGGGGGTTCTTATGCCCACTGATGATGATATTCAGGACGTTGGTAACTCTTCCACTTCTGAGCTAGAGATGTTCATTAACATAGTTCATGAATTTCATCTGACAGCAGCTCCTGGAATGTTGGGATTTCAGGGAACGCTTGCACATTCATTCCTGGCCAGCTGAGCAACAGGACTCAGGGCTTATTTCCACTTGGGCCGAGGTCCACAGGCATGCAACGTGCAGATCCTTTAGTGGAGGAAGCCCAGAAGCCAGGTCCCTCCCTGGAGAAGAGGCAAAACTGGACTTAGAAATAGGATCCCATATGCAGCTATTAATCCCAGGAAAGGAAAGCCAGACCTCTGGCCAACAGGCCTTCTCAGATTTCTATGGGAAATGCAGATAGATCCAAAGCTGCTCGCCTTGAAGGTAGAGAATCCATGTCTGAAATCCCAGCTGGATGAGATGTGCGATAAGCATATCCCAAAACCAAGTGGCAATTCAGTGATCATTTGTAGGCTTCTTCAAAGCAGAGTTTTGGATGTGTTTTCACACACTTCTTCCTATTCTGGTAAAGAGGTATTATCTCCATTTTACAAATGAGAAAACTAAGGCCCATGGAGATGAGATGGTCTTCCGGCTCTAAATCCCAGTATCTTTCCATTACTCTGGGCAGTACTCGGGTGTGGCCTTTGGAATCTGCAAGAGACCTGATTCTGGTTCAGAAGGTAAAAGAGGGGTGTGGAAATTGGCATTTTAAAGAAGGGCCCCAGATGAATCAGATGCAAGGGGACTAGAGTCCACACTGAGAAATCACTTTTCTCCCATGGTCTCCTGTCTCCTGAATTTCCCCCACAAGCTTTCAGACCCTTCTGGGACCCACTTTCTGCCTGATAGCACCTGTCACAGAGACTGAGACAGCGGAGACCAGTCTGCTGGCTTCTCAGGGCACAGCACGAGGGCGGAGGCCTGCCAGGTTTGAAGCACTCAGTTTGCAAAGGCTTTGTGAAGTGTGGTTACATAGTAGGTAAAGCAATCTTCACATGAGGACTTTTAAATCTCATTTCTTTTTCCATTTAATGCTTTTTTACTCTTCTCATAGCCTTAATAGAAAGAAAAAAATGGGGGGGGCGCCTGGGTGGCTCAGTGGGTTAAGCCGCTGCCTTCGGCTCAGGTCATGATCCCAGGTCCTGGGTTCAAGCCCCACGTCGGGCTTTCTGCTCAGCAGGGAGCCTGCTTCCTCCTCTCTCTCTGCCTGCCTCTCTGCCTACTTGTGATTTCTCTCTGTCAAATAAATAAATAAAATCTTTAAAAAAAAAAAAAAAGAAAAGAAAAAAATGGGGTGGGGATACATAAGAGAAAAGAAGCAAAGGCATGGCCAAAGTACTTGGGATTTGTCCTAATTGGAAGTTACTCATGAAAGCGAAAAACTCTACTCTAGATTTGATGTGTCCTTCAGTCTTCATTTTGCTGGCAATATTTAAGTGCCTGTCCTCAGCCTTGGGCTGCCCTCCTTTGCTAAGTGCTCTGGCCCAGCCACGTGGAAGATGGAAGTGGGGCAGGCTCCAGGCACAGTGCAGGAGCAAAGAGGGGACGGAGGGTGTCCAGCAGGGGGCTGCCCCTGGCAGCTGGAGCGACTTTTACTTTTAACAGCTTTTACTGCTCAAGAAAAGGACCCACATTTTCACTGCAAGAAAGATCTTCCTAAGTTTCCCTGCCTTGAAGAATGATTGATTAGTAAGAAAAACCACATCCAAATTTGTAATGAAAACCAGTGGCATGCATTGCCACACACACACACACACACGTGTGTGTGTGTGTGTGTGTGTGTAGTGTATAGCGATGCTGGTTGGGCAAATAATTATTAAGACCATGACCCCAGCAGGTTCTCCCATGCAGGTGTCTTCACAGGTATGGGAGGTGTTGGTGTTCACAGACCCCAAGCCACGTGGAGCTGGACCCCCAGGAAAGGCTTTCTCGTCTGGAAGCCTGGACGGGGAGGCAGAGCCTGCTCCAGTCCATCGCAGGGTGGAAGCCGCATGAGGAACACATTCCTGTAGCCTTTCCCAAAGCCAAAAGTAGGGTGGGACTAGAAGCCGCAGGGAAATTCCTGTGACACCCTGGGCTTTCCCGGCTCAGCTGCCATCTAAGGAGGAACACGAGGAAACCACAATGGAGTATGAAGAGGTTTTGAAAGCCAGTTGTCTCTCGCCTTCTCAATCACCATGCAGACAGAGGCAAGATGCTGCTCCTCACAGCACCACCTCCGCAGGTGTAAGGATATCTACGAGCTCTGGAAGTCATAATCCCTGCTCCCCACCACACAGGCGGTCCTTCCTGGTCAGCTGTCGTCCTCCCCTTGCTCACCCGCCCCCTCAACTCTCTCCCTCTCTACATTTCCACAGTCGTTAGTCCTCTGTGTGGACTGTTTCCCCAGTTTCTTTCTCTAGACCCAGACTCTGACCCCATGAGCTGGCTCAAGGCCCTCCTCCTCCACGAAGACTTCCCAGACGGCAGGGACACGTGGGGCTTCCCTCTACTGGTTAGCTCACAGCTTGGGCCAGTCCTTCCATGGCTTCCTAGCTTCTTAGACAAGTCACTCAGTATTTCCAGGCTTCAGCTCCTTCCTCTGTAGCATGGGAAGAATGACAGTATCTACTTCATAGGGCAGTTCAGAAGATTGATGGTGATAGCACAAACTAAAGCCAAGGTCCCACTTTGCATCCCACCGGGAATGCAGGAAATGCCAGCCCAAACTTCTACTAGTGCCTCGGTCAGAGAAGGGCATGTGGCAGGTGCACAGGGAACTTTCTGGGTTGTCGATATGCTACTGGAGCTCCCTGGAGAAACAAGGCACCTCAGACAGAGGATGCTTGCATTTCCATTTTATTGCTGGTTATGTGCTCTATGAAAACAGAACAAAGCAAATGATACACTTGAGGCCAGAACTGGAGTGTGGTTGGGACATTCTTGTGTGGTGTACACATGTTCTGAAAAGAATCTAAGGTTTCTCAACAATAAGAAAAGTCCATGAAAAGAGTCCTTAAGGGGAAAAATTTTTTGAAAAGAAAGGGAGAGATATTTGGGGGTTCTTTAACTAAATCTTAGTATCTTCGTTTGGCAAGATGACTTCTAAGTTTAAAGGGGAAATTAAAATGTGTTGGACTTGGTGCTGCCCATATTCAATTTTAATTCTCACAGCTGTTTCACAAGGTCTACATTTCCTCCATGTTATAGCTGGGGAAACTGAAGATCAAACAGAGTATACATCTTATCCCAAACCAGCCAGCAGAGTTGGGAATCAAGCTCAAGTGCACCTAGCGCCGAAACCCATGCTTCTCCACGCGGTCAATAGAAAGAGCCAGGCAGGATGGCTCAGAGCTGGGCACTTGTAGGCCATGTTCTGTGGGCATCTTTGTTACCACCCCCATCAGCTGTCTCAGAGGAAGTCTACTTTTGCCTGACAGACCTCTCGGGTGCCCGTGTTTTGTCTGGGGAAAAAAAAAAGTAACAACTGTATGGCTCCATAATCCACACAGTCTTCCTAAAGCCTGAAGGGAAAACAGAAGCTCACCCATTTTCCCTCTACACTTTCAAGTTTTAAAGTTGTCCCTCTGTGCTTTCTAACATGCGGTTGCTGATTTTTTTTTATCCTTAAAGGTTCAAAAACATCTAGTTAGATTTCTTTTTCTAAATGTCTTAGTACATTAACCAGCTTTTTCATATGCATTCTGCCACTTCTAAGGCGTCAGGAGTAGTCGCCCTCCAGCAGCTGCTAAATATCAGAGTTCATGCCCCAGGATGATGGCTGCCCCCTCTGTTCTCAACGTTCCTTAAGCCTCCTCTCCTGTCACTCCAGTGAGCTCAACTCTCACAGCTCAAAGCAGGCTGTGCAGCCCCTTCTTCTGAACTCTTTAATAAATCACTCCATAAATCTGCTTCTTAATATTCCAACCTCTTCCCAGGGCAGGAAATCACAAATGAAAAGACCATTTTAGGATTCCTCTTCACTTCAAAATCCCTTTACCAAAAATCTTTGATACTTGGCTTTACGTTTTCTTTAAATATACGGAATTTTCGCTGAAAAGTCAGGAGGTTGTCAGAAGGGTGTGGAGGTTCTAAAGCCTTCCGATCAAATTCACATCTTGGATTTGACAGAAATGTGGCCCTTCAGCACACATGAAGGCCTGGTGATTCAACAAGCCTGTTGAAGAGTTAAAGCAGCCACCATTTATAAAGGATCAACTCATGCAGGCACTAAGAACTTGGTTATCTCATTTTGTTCCCTCAGCAAATTTAGGAGAAATCCGAGTGACTTGAGTGTTCCACGAGTTGCCTCAAGTCACCCAGGCAGCGAGCACACAAGCAAGCGAGGCAGCACAGCTAGGATTCAAACCTAATTCTGACACCAGTGCTCCCCCTCTTCTCACAGCACAATGCCACTTTCATCACAAAATAGTTTCTTTCCTCCTAAAATAGACATTTCTTCAAGCATATTCTTGCAGATCACTACCACAGCAGAAGAACCCAGAAGGTCCCCTTTGCTGGGTCAACATGTTTTACTACAAAAGAATGGGACACAGAAAATGTGGGGGGTGAAGGGGGAAAGAAGTCCTGAAGAGGGCTTTCACTTTTGGCCCCTTTCCTCCTATTAGAGATCAGGTGAGCAGTCCCTGGAACAAATGGAATGAATACCTGCTTAGTTTCTCACTTCTGTGTCTACATCCCTGACTGGGAAGAAAGAACTGATGTGACAAGTCTCAACTAGGGAGAGAAGGCGAAATGGCTCCATGTCTGTGTTAATTAACCACTGCCTCCTCTCAGCATTTCTCTTCTGGCCCCTCGCTCTGGTCAGTGAGTCATGAAATGAGGACAAGACTCCAGGGAGGTGAATACCACAGCTGCACAGCCATGAACCAGAAATGACAAGACACAGGTGGTTAGCAACTTTCTTGCCCCATGGGTCTCTGCTCCCACACACCAGCAATGCATTTCTAACCAAGGGGAGCGCACACATTGTCCCACAACAGAGTACGAATCTGGAATGTTCATTTGAGCCAGTACAACCAGCCACTCAAAACGACAGCCTTAACCCCTCCACCCCCACAATGTATATGAAACCTCAGAACGTTTCACCTTTGCTGAACCTTCAAGCTGAAATACCTCATTACACTTGAGAGCATAGCTGGCACGAGCAGCCCAGTTCTTCCCCACTTGCTTCATGGGGCCCGTTTGCAAAAAACATTATTAATGGTCAAGAGATTCCAACAGAATTTGCCTGCCAAGATTTATTTGGCAAAGATACTCCATCTCCTGAAACATAGGTTTAAAAAGTCCGTTCCAATCTTTGTTTTGCTAAACGTTGCACCAACTCGCTGGAGAGAAAAATCGCAACTCTTGTGCAAACCAGCTTTTGCAAAATGAAATCCCAGCACCCAGTCTTCTCAAGCACTTACCCTCAGTGCTGGAACCGATGACATCCTCCACGCCTAGCACTTGCCTCCCCAGCCCCAGTGGTGGAGTGTGAGCTAGCACGGGGTAATTTAGAACGGCCTTTCCTTCTGGGTGGGCTGGAGGGACATCCTCTTCTGAAGGCAGGGACGGTCCCTCTGCGTGGGGAGGCGGGGCTCCCCAGGTCAGACCCGGTGAATCTCCTTCTATCTCTGAAGGAGCTGGGCTTCTGGTCCCTTGCTGTTCAGAAGACTCGACTGCGCCATTTAAATCTGGGGCATCTACCCCACCCGGAGCTCTCCCCTCTTTGGTTTGAGGCTCCAAGGTGGCCGATTCGGTTTCAGGCGAGAGGGGCCGATCACTAGCTGTCAGCTGTGGCAAAGGGGAGGCCGGATCAGAATCTGGTAGAGATATCCCACCTCCTAGAGATCTTGACTCAGCTTTCGGTTGGAAGGAAACCTCAATGTTGCTTTGGCCTTTCCATGTGTCCTCTGGCTCACTTGGGGGGTACTCCACTTCTCCCTCATTCTCATCATAGTAATCCAGATTGTCTTCAGTGTAGTCACTTTCCGGAGCTGCTGTAGGGCCAAAGGACTGCTCCAGGGGAGGTGAAGGGCGGGCTTTGGTAAGGTCTCCTCCAAGGGTGGCTGGCCTGATATTGTCCAGTGAGGAGGTGCTGCCGATATGAAAAGCCCACACTCCAGGAACCCCCAGGTTGCTCTGTCTAAATGAAAAGGAAACAGCGCATGACAAAAGTGTCCATTTACACAGCATCCCACAAGAGTGAGCGATTTATTTGAAAACTGGAAGACTATTAAGATCAGATTCAGAGTTTTCACAAGCATAAAATCAGGTCTACATGATAACTAAAAAGAGTATACTGGAATTTTGACATGAACTACCTCTTAACATGAGGTTTCAGAAGGCTAGACCATCAAATCAGAAATCTGCTCTAAAATTCACACATTTTGTCTAAAATCTAGCTATTTGAAAGCAAATAGGGAATGTGGGAATAGTTTATACCTTCTCTACTTTTAACACACTTGGGAAAATGTATGCTTAAAAATCTGTGCCAAACACTTAAACAGTAATTACTAACTACATACTTTTGAGACTTAGTCATGTACAAAATGCTTAATGTTCTTCAGTACGATCTTCAACGGAGGGGCAGTGACGTGCCCCATTTTACAGAGGAGAAAACAGGTTTAGAGAGGCTAACAAATCTTTTTAAGGTCATACAATGAATAATTAGCAGAGCTTGGACTTGAATTCAGCACTTCCACCAAAGCCCATGCTCTAAACATCTATATTATGTCAGAAAACCAATACACTATAGTCAGTCAGCAACTGAATTATCAATGGTCTCCGGAATGTTACAGACATTTCCCTGTTTAATCATATGGATTAATCAATTAACTAATTGACATAGAATGGTGAGTCGATGTAAAAAAACTCAAAGAAAAATAAATGCCCACATCTAAAAAATGCTGAGCAAATGCAGAACAAAGTTAAGGGGCCTATAAGAAAGTAGTTTAGTCAAAATGCCATGGGTTATAGAGGAGAGGTGTTCAGATACATCTGGAACCAGAGAGCTCATGCATTTTCTTTACTAGAAAAGAACACGGACCCCATTCAGTTTTCCAAATGTTCCAGTGACACATTATTTTAGCCAATGATACATTCTAAAGAGAATAACTACATATTTTATATGTAGTTAAAAAATTTTTCTAAAAAATTTTTTAAAAGCAACTTTGAACAAACAAGTCCCCAGACCAGCTCAGCAGCCTCCTCACAACTTGTATAAACGCAGATTCTCAGGGCCTGCTTCAGGCGTCCTGAGTCTGAAGCCCAGGCACACACACACACCCCCCTAGGGTCTTGCTAGCTTGAATGCACCAGTTTTTATTCTTCTCTGGTCTATTAGAAAATACCAGGCTCAAAGTCCCCCATGTTACAGGATTGCCTCAAAAGTCAGTCAGTGAGGTATAAGAGTTAATGACTAATAAGATAATAAGAAAATTATCAAATCATTATAATAACAAGAGACTTTTGCTGCTTTGGATAGGTACTGATCACATTCACATAGATTTCTATAGCAGTAGTATTTTTCAATACAATTCTAAGAATGTCTCTTTCTCTCCTCTCTTTCTACCTCTCCCACTCCCTCCTTCATGTGTATGCTCACACACACGCATGTGCATGTACACATGCAAAGCTGTTTCTGTTGTAATTATAACTACTTTAGGGAAAGAGGAGCAGAGAAAGCAAAACCGTGATCCTTTGTACAACATGCTATGTATACTTAGTATGTTCAAAGACTTAATGTTGGTGTTTTTTGGCAAGCAAATAAGGAACACTTTAGTAAGAAGATAAGAGAGAATCCTGAAGATCTGAAGATACACATTTATTATCACATCAGAGGTGTTGCAGCTGTGAAATTTCTTCTTGAAGTTAGAGAAATCTATAAAAGCTTCAAAGAATAGGGAAATACAAATCATGGCAGAAAGAAGTTAAGCAAAATAACCTTCTAATGAAATATAAATCACTATCTTGGCTTTTGTCATTGTGCATGATGGAAAAGTAATCAATTTGAGTTTATCTTAAAATCCGGGGTCATTTGGAAAGCTTAGTGATAGAATTTAATTTGTTTTCTAGAAAGGAAAACAAGGCTACAAAATGGGATGACAGTGCCTTCTTTCCTGGGTCATTAAGAGGAGTAAGTAAGAAAACCACATAAAATGTCTGTCATGAGGCTCTGCACATAATTAGTGCTTAGTAAATGCAATTTGTCTTCAAGGAGATAGAAAAATATAATATCAAAGAATACAAATGGCTGGATTTAAATTTCCAGAAGAGGAGTTATGCCAAATCTATTATGAATTACATATTTTATTACCCTTAAGCTTACAATTATAAGACAAGTTTGAGGAAGACAAAGATTCTATTGACTAGGAAAATAACTTTCTTCTTCAGAGATACATACTGAAGTGTCTAGTAGTTAGTATGAGCATGATGTTGGTAATTTCCTTCAAAATTCTTTTTTTTTAAAAGATTCTTATTTATTTATTTGACAGAGAGAGAGATCACAAGTAGGCAGAGAGGTAGGCAGAAAGAGAGAGAGAGAGGGAAGCAGGCTCTCTGCTGAGCAGAGAGCCCGATGTGGGACTCGATCCCAGGACCCTGAGATCATGACCTGAGCCAAAGGCAGCGGCTTAACCCACTGAGCCACCCAGGCACCCATTTTCCTTTAAAATTCTTAAGCAAAAAAAAAAAAAAAAAAAAGATGAATATTGTCAAAATGTCAACAACTTCTAAATCTAAATGATGAGCTTTTGGGTGTTCATTTAGCTATTCCCTCTAGTCTTCTGCGTATTTTTGAAAACTTAAATACTGAAAAGTAAAAATAGAAGATTAAATTAATCTTCTATTGGAGATTATTGGAGGTAGAGAAGAAGGCCTTTCCAAGAATAACAAAGATCTGAAATCATAAAAGAGCAATAACTTTGCCAACCCTAAATTTACATCTTCTAGATGTAAGTAATTTTTTTTTAATTTTATTTATTTATTTGACAGAGAGAGAGACATAACGAGAGAGGGAACACAAGCAAGAGGCAGAGAGAGGGGGAGAAGCAAGGCTTCCCGCCAAGCAGGGAGCCCGATGTGAGGCTGGATCCCAGTATTCTGGGATCATGACCTGAGCTGAAGGCAGACGCTTAACCCAATGAGCCACCCTGGCACCCCGGTAAGTTATTTTAAAGAGGAACATCTGGACAAAAATATTCACACTGTGTAAGAGGATTAATTTCCTCACTATATTTATTCTTATTTATAGGGGGTCTTTGGAGCTCTTCTTATTTATAGGAGCTCTTTTGATAGCAAAGGACAGGCAGAGAAGTCACAAAGATAGAAAAATGGCTATTACACATACGAAAAGGTGTTTGGTTTCACTAGTAAAGAAACGAGAGTGAGAGTATGAACATTTGACACCGACCAGAGTCACAAATATTGAAAAGAAAAGCTGCCGATCACGGTTCTCTCTTACCGGTGAGGACATAAACTGGACATTTCTGGAGGGCAGTGTGTTCATGTCCACCAAGATGTTCGACTGTGTATAGCTTTTCTGAGCAATTCTACTTTCAAGAAATTATCTTTCATGAAAATGAGAATCTAAAAATTTTATCCTTAAAACGATAAACATCTTCCTGAATGATACCTATAAGACAGTGATAAATGGGAAAATGCCGCATGGATAGCAAAAGAACCATAGTGGTTTTAAAAAGTTTTTGCAGAATGCTAAAGTCCTAGAAAGGCTATCAATACTGGCTATCACGTGAAGTAGTGATAGCGGGTAATGTGTGCTTTTATTTCACATTATTCGGCCTTGTTTGTGATTTCTTTTTTATGTTAAGTTATATGAAGGAAATATACCTCTGTCAGTCCCATGTCTTCTGTCCTCATCAAGCCACTCTGAGGTTTCTAGGAAGCATGAAAGATACAAACGAGGGCAGCCACGTTGGAGGGTCAATGGGAGCGCTATGAGGATGCATGCGCAGGCTGGTGCGTGCGTGCGTGCGTGCGTGCGTGCACGGGCGCGCATGCGCACGCACGTGTGGGTTAGTGCCGTGGGGTCTTTATCACTGTGGTTAGGGAGCACAGTTGCCTTTTCCTACAGGCTGCTTGGCCCCCTGTACCCTAAGTACAGTTGGCACTCATTCCAGTGCTCCGAAACCATTGATCCTTTCATCTGTTGACCCTCCCAGAATGCGGGCTGCTAGTGTGCGCGGCCTGTGCTTCAGACATCTTTGTATTCAAGTGCTGGGCCCCCAGTGATCAACAACATCTGAGGTGTAGAGAATCTGGGAGCTCCAGAGTGGGATAGGAAGGTGGAGCCGGAGGAGAGAAAGCAAGGAGCTGTTTTCTCACGTCTGGACTAAAAGGCAGCCTGGACGGAGACTTAAAGATGCCCAAGGTGGGTCCTAAGACTGGGAAACAAGACCAGGCTTCCCGCACAGAAGAAGTAGTTCGGGACTCCAGGCTTGTGCTTAAATTTTTACCACTGAGTAACTTCGAGGTGACAGGCAACTTAACTTCCCTAAGCTCATTTGTCAAACTGAGAAAGCAGCAGAACTTACCTCCTAGGATTCTTATGAGTTTTAATTAAGGTAACTTCTGGAAAGTGTTTTACAGTGTTCAGCAAATAGTAAGCTCTCAATAAATGTCAGCTCTGCATAACCATATTTGGTGGTGGGGCCTGCTCCCTGGCAGCTGAGCAAAGCAGATGGCATGCAAAAGTGTCAGGTCTTCCAGTGCCCAGGAATAATGTAATGGAAGGGAGAAGCCATTAAGTGAGGCTAAGTAACTGATGTATTCTGCCTGGCTTCTAGACCAGGATTTGGGAAAGGAATAAAAGCAAAGATTTTTTTTTTTCACAAGCCCTGAAATTAATATCAACTGGTGCTAACCCAGATATGGTGGCTCTGTGGACTGACGAACAGCAAAAGGGGCTTATTATTACTCTAGCAGAGTAAGCCTCTGATGGGTCTCAGGAATGTGCTGGCTACCTCATGGGAAACCAGTCAGCATGGTTTGAGTTAATGAAGTCAATACAGAAACCCCGAGACCTCTAACTGCTACCCATGTGTCTGGTTTTCCCTTTTCCCCAAATTACACTATTCTTGATTTAGCTTTTAACATGTATCTGTCCAAAAGATTATAAATCACAGCATCTCCTCCTTGTGAGATGATTAACCTGGAAAAATCTCACTCTGGGCAGTTATGTTACTGGACATTTTTATGTAGCTCCAAGAGCAATGTTTTTCATAGCAAGCCTCAGTGGCTGTGCAAACACATACACACTGTTTGGTTTCCAGTATCTATACCCAATAGGGCAGGAAGAATAAAGGGTCTTTTATATTTCTGTGAATTTGCTCCTCCCAGGGTCTAATCTAATCTAGTGTCTGGTTTTGACCTGATGCCTCCCTTAGAAGCCACCAAGATATTATTCAATGGCCCTATGGCCACTCAAGTTTGGGTAGCTCCGAAGGGTCATGACAGGGAAAGGCTTACTTACTGGTAGAGATTTTTCACAGACTGTTCAGTGCTGGTCAGGCTGAAATAGGGTCCCTCTCTCTTCGGGTCATCGACCTCCCCTCGGCAGAAGCCCACCCGGGCGGGAAGATCAAGCTGGACGTTGTAAGACTCTTTGGGGCGAGTTCCAAAGAACTGAAGGCCATTGGCAGGGTAAAGAAAGAGGGCGTAGGTATCAGACTCATCAGATGCCAAAACTGCCTGGAAAGTGTTCAGCTATGAAAAACAAAAAATAGGAAATATTCTTAATAAAACAAACAAGAAAAGAAAAATAATATAGAATGCAGGCAAAGCATCATAAAGTACAAGGGACTTCCCCCTTCTTAGGATTCCTCCAAATTGCTTTTTTTCTTTTTTTTAAGATTTTATTTATTTGACAGACAGAGATCACAAGTAGGCAGAGAGGCAGGCAGAGAGAGAGGAAGAGAAGCAGGCTCCCCACTGAGCAGAGAGCCCGACATGGGACTCGATCCCAGGACCCTTGGGATCATGACCTGAGCTGAAAGCAGAGGCTTTAACCCACTGAGCCACCCAGGTGCCCCCAAATTGCTTTTATACATTATATTCTTTTCAGTTTCTTCTCCAAGCTGTAATTGTGTAAGCTATATTATTATCATAATCCTCTTTTATCATTTAGGTTAATACTTAAAAGATGCATAGGTAAGAACCACAGGTTACAGAAATAATGTTTTTAAGGTTTCAAATTTCTCTCATCCAAACCTCTTTAAGAGCTAAGAGTCAGTACCAAAATTAACCCATATATACCCACTACCACTGCCCTAGTTTACTACACTGGGCCTCATGTGGCTCATTCATTCATTCCTTCATTCACCTTTTTACTGAACCCCTATTATGGACAGGCATGGTGTTAGCCATTGGCTGATGAAAAGGCCTCCTCACTGCACAGCCTCACTCTCTGTTCTTTTGCATCTGCCTTTTCACACCAGCACCTGAGTTGCTGACCCTCCTTTCACAGACCAGGAAACAAGACATGGGGGATCCCAGATCTGCCCACAGTCAGGTTGCTGGTATGCAGTGGCAGGCTAGCCGGCTCCAGAGTCCTTGCCCAGCACCACTAGGCCACCCTAGCTACTCCTTAGCATCCCATTTGAGGTGGTATATAACTGCCCCAGACGCTTTCCCCAGGGTTAGATCCCCTGCATCCTCATCAGACTATGTCACATTCCTGCTCTGTGCTGGGTACTTTAATGTTTCTGTATTTTTGCTCATGTTTCCCTGTGCCAGGCAACCCTCCTAACCTTCTAATGATGCCCTTCTGAGGTTTTCTCTGATTCCCTGTAGATTTATTTCTGTTCTCTGACCATCTATAACGCCTGGTGTTTCTGGTTATCATTCTGGTTACCATTCACCTCATTTTGCCTGGTTAGCTGTTTGGAAACTCCACTAATTAATAATTCACTTGCACCTTAATTCAGCCAAGTGCCTACTAAGCTAGACATTATGCTTGGTGCTGAAGGAAAAGGGAGCAAAGGAAGGGAGACTCTGCCTGGGGCAGTCTCACACTGAGACAGGAACAGCCATGGGGGAAATTCAGGAGAGTTACTGGAGAAGATAGTAGAGGCCAGAGGAAGGTGTGTGAGACATCAGGCTTGGGCTGGGGAGGCATCACAGAGGCGGCCTGTGAACATTCATAAACACAGGAGGAGACAAAGCAGGCCAGAGTGGGAGACTAGGTGTCTGAATTAGCTGCAAACTCAGCACCCAGGCCCTTGTAAAATCAGTCCTTGAAGTTCAATTTACTCTTGTATTTTAGCCAGACACTTTTGCCTTTACCTACCTAATGCTATCTTCACCCACACCTTCACATGATCTGTTAGTGGTAACTTCTTGTCTTAAAAAGGTATTATATTTAGGACTCTGAGAACTCTTCTCTCTCTTGCCAAGTCCCCCTCTTTTTTTAATTTGGTAGCGAACTGGAAGGTATTTATAAATGCCACTACTTCCTAAATAATGTGACTCTTAGAAACGTTATTTACTGGTAAAGGTTATTATTTCTCCATTTTGCTAGGCAGATAACAGTAGGCTCAGAGAAGAACATCACATCTTCCTAAATAAAATAGCAAACAACAGGAGGGCATCCTGCATTTTGTTCTGTCCTGGGCCCTTCTCCATATGCTGCTCAGAATCATCCAATGTTTTCTATTCCTTTTAATGTTCAATTGCAAAGTATAGTTTTGACACTTTGCTGATAGGACAAACCAATTCAGGTGTTTAAATGCTTTTCAAGAAAAAAAGAAGCATACAACCTTTCTTTTTGTTCTCTAACATAGACACACTTGCCTTATTTTGCTTTATTTCTTTTTTTAAAGACTCTCTATACCCAGCATGTAGAGTAATCTCTACTCTACACCCAACATGGGATTCAAACTTACAACCCTGAGATCAAAAATCTCGTGCTCTACTGGCTAAGCCAGCCAGGTACACCTACTTACTTTCTTAAAGCTCACAGACTTAAAGATGGCAGAGGTGGGGGGCTGGTATGTTTGTTATTTTTGCAGTTGTTGATTGTTTCATCGGCAAAGCTTGACTGTTCCAGAAACAAAAGGCAAAGGATGCTTTCTAGAATTTCTCAAAGCTGGGAAACCATAACTTCTGCCAAATGTAAACAAAGCCTATTCTGCATCATGTCCATACCTAATATAGACCACCTCCTCGATTAACGTTGATTCCCTAACTGCAGAGTACTCCTTTGGTCAGAATCAACAAAGTTCAGCTAGGGAAAGGATAGTACTTGAAGAAAGAGAAAGGACCTGTTGTAACAAGCTAAACTTTCAAAGCTCCTGGCATTGATTACTTAAAACAAATGTAAGATAGGAAGAATTCTGGTTCTAAGTTTAAAGAAATTCTGTTAAGATAAGGAGGGGGGGCGGTTCCACAGATTGTGAGGGAACTGAAGAGGATGGGGGAGGAGGGAAGGGAGAAAATAAACAGAACTGTGAAAGGGAGGGTCTGGCTTTTACTGTGGAGTCTGGGACTTTAGCGCTTTATTCATTCTGTCAGTCAGTCAGTAAATCCATTTTGATGAAAATTTATTCAGTGCCTTTTATATGCCATCCCTGAGCCAAGCACTTACACAGGTGGCAAGCCTTTATTTAATTTACTTGTCTCCACTGAAATAGGCAAAAAAGAAGATTTTAGATAGAATTTATGATCCCAAAGTACAGGCCAAAAGAGTTTGGCTGTTTAAAAACCACCCACACACCAAATGATCACTGTTAAAGTTCTCTCTCTTGGCTCTACAGAATTCTACATCTAACCGCTAAAGAGCACACTTCACAAAGTCCTGAAGTACCCCTCCTCCCAGAGCACTCCTCAACTAGCTTCCAGACCAGAAAGGTCTTCACATTCCTGGAGACCGAGAGCGCCTTTGCAAGAACCGCACATGCTCTGTCTCTGAAGATAAACCCTCAGATGGGCTGCCAAACCCCACAAAAGGGTCACCGGTTCCCAACTTCCTCAGGATCCCAGAGAGGAGAGAGGGGCCTCCATGGAAAGAAGAACAGGACAGAGGGTCAGGGCCAGTGGCTAGCCTGGCTTCAGGGTTTCTGCCATCCTGTTATCCCAAAGAGAGAAAAGCCAGAGTTGTTAGCAGAAACCAGGCTGGCTCTGACTCTCCCTTTCAGGTATGGGACATCACCAAGCAATGCTGACTTGACACATGGCAGAGCCAGGCTGATGGATACAAAACATACCCCTCTAGAAGCTTCTAAATTTGCAATTCATTAATTAATTGCAGCCATCTGGCGAAGCAACAGAACAGTACCAGCCTTATCCCAAACAGGTTGGCCTATAGTGGCTTACAAAAGTTACAATGAAAATGAAGAAGTAGGGTGACTCCTATAGGAGTTCTCTTTCCTTTCTTCCTTGGGGTCATGTGCTCTCCACAGTGGTGGCATCACTGACTTCTGGTCTCCAGGATTTGGGGTGAGCACTAACCTCTACTCCTTAATATACTTCTCCATCTCCCAGCACCTGTAGGTCACTGTTACAGGCATGTGTTCCTCTCATTCATCTGTATGCCCTAAACCCTACAGATCCTGCCCAAAATCCAAAGATCTATGCTCTAGTCTCTAATGTGACATCCTTCCTGATACTTGGGCTTTAGCAAAACTTAAGCATTTCATTAACCAATTTCCAAATATGTCTCTATGCAGTACATCTTCAGAGCTCTATTTTAGCCTCAGGTTAAATGTTTTCAGATAGACTCCAGACCTCCCCTCTTCTGGACTTGAGCTCCAGAAATCCAAAAGCCACAACAAAGGCCTCCTTTCACCTCTCATTCTCTCTGTGGGTTCACCCCCCTCCATCAACAACAATCATCCTTTGAAACAAGCCAACACACTTTAGTCCCCATATTGAGGCCTCTGATGGACAACCTTCCGCTCATGTCGTGTGACTGGTTCCACGACTCCCCTCATCCCTGTCTCCTGCCTTAGCTCTCTCAGCCCGCTCCCAGGACAAGGCCTTGCCCAGAACAGTTTCTCCTGCCGCCTCATTCTCAGGACCCATTCTTTCAGCTCTTTCGGCTCAACTTAAATTTCAGGTCAACAAAACATCCCCCATATCACACAGATTTGTGTGGCCCAGTTCCCCACAACTTCTGTCTGTCAAACAACAACAAAACAATTCTCCCCCTCCCCCCAAAACCACAGCTGAAGTAAACACTAGTCCTCTTTATGTCTCTGTCAACAAGTTTTTTGAAGATCAGTACCATGACTTCTTTGCCCGGTAAGGTACCTATGACAGTTGAGGACTCTCAGATTAACTGAACTGATAAACACTATTTGTTCCTTTTTTTTTTTTTAGAGAGCGAGTGCACCGCCCCCCTCCCTTGACTGGACAAGCCAGGGGGAGGGGGAGAATCTTAAGCACTTAAGCAGGCTCCACACCCAAGGCACCCAACAGGGCAGATCTCATGACCCTGAGACCAGGACCTGAGCCGAAATCAAGAGTTGGACACAACCAACTCAGCCACCGAGTGCCCCATATTTCTTCACTCTTGTTAATCTGTGGTTATACTTTGCCACTCCTGCAACATCAGATAAAAAACCTGGTCATACCCACCATGAATATCAATGGAGAGAAACGGCAACAAGTGAAATAGTTTTAAATGGTTTAAAGATGCCATTCCTCTGATATGTTCAAGTTTCCAGTAACTTTGCAACATAGGGTTAGTGTGTCAAGGTTTAAGAAAGCCACATAGAACTCACACAGCCCTCAGGCAAGGCAGATTACTATTTGCCAAAATCTATCTCCAAAGAACTATTAAAATAAGAACTCAAATCACAGGGCTCTTTCAAGTATTCAGAAGAACCTTCAATGTGGGTAATTGAAAAAACATCCTCTCTCCAAACAGAACCCTTATCTCCTTTCAAAACGAAACAAATTCTGAAGCCAACTCAGCATATGGCAATATCTGAAGAAGGATTTTAACTAGAAAAGTAAGAGAGATGGATTCTACAAATCTTTCTGTACTTCTCACCCAAAAGAGACAGAAGTTGCAGTTCCAAAAACCTAGTATTTAAGAAGAGTCCTTATGCAAAGCGCTTACATCACAGGGTCCTTACGAGGTAGAGAAATTTAAAAACCAGAATCTGCTCCTATCAAGCCAACATAGAGGGGCACAGATTGGCTGAGCATCCACACCCACTAGGTCTAAAAGAATAGAATGACTACTTTAAAATGTCACCCTACTTAAAAATGCCACCATAGTTAATTCTGATAACAATCCTGTAAGGTAGGCATTGCTTCCCCATTTTGCAGGTTAGGAAATAAGAATGAGGCTGTCATTGCTTCCAAAGTCTCCAGATAACCTTTCATAATGCACATCTTCTTTCAAAATGTTTTTATATTGTCATGGTCTTCACAACCACCCTGAAAGTTGGATGAAAGAGCAGTATTCCCATGTTACACATGAAATTGAAACAATAATTGACAAAGTCATCTTGTCTGTATTATAATTTTTGGTTTCAAATAAGCTGTGAAAAAAAATGGAATCTTAAAGCTCTAGTGTGATTTCATCATCCCAGCATTTCTGTGTAACTCTTCATCTCCAATTCATCTCACTCAACTCAACTTCATCATTATTCTGTTGAAAAAGTGAGACAGATGCAGCTGAATTCTACTCAAAGCATTGGAATACTAATTTGGAAGTAATAAGGTATCAGCAGCATCCTTGGTAGCCAGTTCCATTGTAAGTTCATTCTTCCTTTGAATGAAATATGATTCCAAGTACTCTTTTGGTACTAAGAGCAAATCAAGCTTTATTTATTGCAAGTCTTTGGGAAAAGCACAATTATTGTGTCCACCTACATCACTTGAGCCAAGGAAATGGATCTTGCATGAAAAACTTGGGTTAAAGGCACCTGGGTGTCTCAGTTGGTTACGTGACTGCCTTTGGCTCAGGTCATGATCCTGGAGTTCTAGGATCAAGTCCCGCATTGGGCTCCCTGCTCAGCAGAAGTCTGCTTCTCCCTCTGACCCTCCTCCCTGTCATGCTCTCTCTCTCACTCTCTCTCTCAAGCAAATAAATCTTTTTTTAAAAAATCTGGGTTAAAAGCAATAGAAAACAAAAAACTGGGGCACCTGCCTGGCTCAGATGGTAGAGCATGTGACTCTTGATCTTGGGGTTGTGAGTTCAAGCCCCACATTGGGTGTAGAGATTACTTAAAAATAAAGGCAATTAAAAAAAAGTAAGAATCAAGAAATGTGTACTCTAGGGGCACCTGGGTGGCTCAGTGGGTTAAGCCTCTGCCTTCAGCTCAGGTCATGATCTCAGGGTCCTGGGATCGAGCCTCACATCAGACTCTCTGCTCAGTGGGGGAGCCTGCTTCCTCCTCTCTCTCTGCCTGCCTCTCTGACTACTTGTGATCGCTCTCTGTCAAATAAACAAATAAAATCTTTAAAAAAAAATGTGTACTCTAAACATGCCTTTGCCTCACCAAGAGCAGAATTCTCAACAATTGCATTGTATTCTGTTTGTCATTATCTGTGAAATGCAAACAATAATCTTTGTTGTACTTATAGGATTGTTGTAGGAAGTCAGTATGATAAAATAATTGTTTTAAGAATTAACTAGGTAGCTTGAATAAACAACATATATAATAATTGTCTTAGTAGTCTTTCCTTTGAGCCCTTACCTTCTCAATAAAGACAAAAAGAACTCTGGCGGGTGGCGGAGGGGATTCAACCCGTTGCTTAAAATCCTTCAAAACCTACCCACTGTCAAAGAAACAATTCCAGACTCCCTTCAGAGCATGCTCTGTCCCCACCCCATGGCTTTTTCATCCTCGTGTCTGACCACCCTTCTTGTTCAGTAATAATGAACCACACGTAAGGCCCAAAACACATCATACTTCACAGCACATGGGTGATCCATCACATGCTATTTCTTCTGAGACTGGTCCACTATGCTCAACTCAGATTCAAAACTACTTCCTCATTAAAACTTTCCCAGATTGGGTCCCCAAAGTTAGTCTTTTTTTTTTTTAAATTAACATATAATGTATTATTTGTTTCAGGGGTACAGGTCTGTGATTCATCAGTCTTACACAATTCAGAGCACTCCTCATAGCACATACCCTCCCCAGTGTCCAAGATACTGCTACACTTAACATGATCAACGTCCCCACTAAACTATGAGTTCCTTGGGCGCAAAGAGTATTTCCTTTCACTGTGTCTATACCAGTTCTGAATTATAGTAAGTGTGCAAAAACAGTTTACTGAATGAATAAATCTTAATTACATTTAAATACAAATTGCTTATAACACACACTTATATGCATATGCCACATATGTTTACCAAAAAAAAAGACTGGCAGAAAACAGAATAAAGTATTAGCAGTGGTAACCTCTGGTTAGTGGAGTTACAAATAATGTTTATAATTTTCTTTTTTTATATTTTATATTTTATGTTTATATTTTCTTATTTTCTAATTTTTTTTATTATTAGGTATGTTATATTTAAGGTATGTTATATTAGGTATGTTATATTTAAGATTTTAGAGAGGGAGCACACAAGTGGGGGGAGGGGCAGAGGGGGAGAGAGACAGAGAGAGAGAGAAAGAGGAAGCAGACTCCCTGCTCAGCAGAGAGCCTGAAGACAGGCTTGACCCCAGGACCCTGAGATCATGACCTCAGGTGAAATCAAGAGTTGGTTGCTCAACCACTGAGCCACCCAGGTGCCCCTCTAATTTTAAATAAGTGTTTTAAACTTATATACAAAATGAATGAGTGAATATGAATGAATGCAACATGATGAGGAGGAGCCTTATCTTACTCATTTTCTCCAACCCTCCACCTAGCCCAATGCCCTGCACAAAGTAAGTGCCCAATATATTTGTTCGAATTGACTGTATTCTGTTGAATTGAATAACTGATATGAAACTCACATCTGTAAAAAAAAAAAAAACACTAAACAAACAAAACTAAATGTCTGACAAAAAATGAATGTCCAAAAAAATCACAAATTGAAATATCTTGTATTTCTAGATCTTCTCAGAATAGCCTTTTAGGGATATTTTTCTTACAGAACACAAAACAGGAATGGCCACCATCTTGAACTACTCAGTGAGAGTGGGCAAGCTGCTTAATCTTTCAGGGAGGATATGTGCCATCTTCTTATAGCTAAGAAATACTATGATGAGTTAAAATAGAGATAAACTGTAAGAGTTTCAGCCCTTCCAGTATGACATTTTAGATTCAGATCTTATTTCACAGGAGGAAGCCCTTACCTATTCCAGGAATGAGGCAGTTCACCATTTGCCAAGCCACCCTGATCCCACCTGACGTCCATTGGAGTACTTTCAATGTTGCTGCCCAGGGGCACCTGGGTGGCTCAGTGGATTAAAGCCTCTGCCTTCGCTCAGGTCATGATCCCAGGACCCTGGAATCGAGTCCCGCCCCTGGCTCTCTGCTCAGCAGGGAGCCTGCTTCCTCCTCTTTCTCTACCTACTTGTGATCTGTCTGTCAAATAAATAAATAAAATCTTAAAAAAAAAGAAAAATGTTGCTGCCCAGCCTAAAGACTGGGAGCTTGGATTGTTTTACTTTCTCAGGTAGACTGTAAAAGAAATGGAGGACAGTCCCCTGTAAACCAGGAGCATGTAAACTGATGTCTGTAGGGCAATTTGGCAGAAACTATCAAGAACTGGATCCTCTCTGGCCCACAAGTTCCACTTCCTGGAATATCAAGTAAGGACATGTGGAAAAATTAACTTAAACAAAAAAAAGCACTTCACAAAATTATGATGAAAAATTGGAAATCACCTTAATGATCACTGGACATATGGTAAATTCACTGGGTGGAATATTATGGAGATACTATAAATGCTGTTGTAGAAACATATTTAGTGACAATGAAACATACAATATACTACTGAGTGAAAAAATAGTTTACAAAACAGTATGTGCAGTGTGAACCCATTAGTGTTAATAGACAGTGACAGATAAATACAGACATTAATAGAAAGAAAAAACTTCTGGAAGATATAAATGAAAATGTTTAACTGATTATCTTTGAATGGTAGGAAAATGAGTGGTTGTTCTTTTTTAAATTGCCTGTATTTGCTCATGTTTTTCCTTCAACGAACATATAATTAGAAATAATTCTTATATACTTAGAGGTGATTCTAAAAATAAACAACCCAACAGTGAACTGCCGTGTGTTCTGAGGGCCTTCCACATCTGCACTGGGGCCCTCATACCCTTACTAGAAGTAGCCACCTCTCAGATCCTTAGAGGACGCCTGGAGAAAACAGCCTTCACTTCCAAGCCACTTCGGCCCTGGTGCCACCAAAGGATACATCAGGTTCAGCACGAGAGCGGACTCAGAAGAAATTCCAAGCCAGTTCCTGGGTTCCAGCCCAGAATTCAAACCCATCCCTCCACTGGCGCTCGGCGGCCAAGCATCCCTGGTCAGTTACCTCTCCTGAGGGCGGCACCCGGCTGCTGGCCTCCTCGTAGGCGCCCACCTGCTCCCAGGTGGCCAAGAAGGCGTGGGTGGGGGTGAAGTGCGCCGCGGTGCGCGGGAAGCCTGCGCGCACGTAGCGGGCGGCCAGGCCCAGCACTGCCAGGGACGTGTCCTCACGGTACAGGACCTGGCCCCGGCCCCGACTCGTGTCGATGTCCGCCAGGAACGGGGCAATGGCCGGAAAGTCTGTGGGGAAATCGTCGTCCACGTACTGGGTCTCCCTAGGGAAGTCCTGAGTGGAGATGATACCGTTGGTGCCCACCTGTGGGAAGAGATGGACAAAAGGTGATGGTCGCGTACGCGCCAGGAGGCCCTCGGGCGGCCACAAGTCCAAATGTGCGCGCGCCCACCCTGGCTACGCACGGAGAGAGGACAACAGCCGGGGAGGCTTGAAGCTGCCCCTTCTCTACCCGCTGGGAACGGGACTCCTGATTCAGGGCGACCAGCGCAACTTCGGCCCGCCTGACGCCCGCCACCTCTACCCCACAGCTTGGTGCGATGGGTGCAGAGCCCTAAAACTCCTGGTTCACTTCTCTTCTCACTTCCCGCACAACGCTGGAGAAGACCTTCGGGTGCGAGGAGGGAACGCACCAGCTCTGCAGCGGTGCACAGCCTGCTCGCGGTCCTTACTGGAAACCCTACCGGCCGCCCCAGCATCCCCACCTCCTTTTCTGCCTGGGACGCTTATGCAGCTGCGAATCTGGGTCTGACTTCTTGCTCTTCCTTTTGGGTAAAGAAAAGCAAGTCAGACAGCAGCATCGCTGCAGAGCCAGGTCCCCACCCCAGGGGCGCTCGGGGACAGCCCGGCGTGCGGACTATTTCTTCCGCTCAGAAGGCAGGGGTTCGGTGAGATCCACACTACAGTGACCCGTGGGAAGAATCTGCGAGAACTCTGCCGGTTCCCTCACCAAGCGGGGGCTGAACTTACGTAGAGGTAGCTGAACTGGGCTTCGTAGAAGCGCAGGGGACTCGCCAGCTTCACTGGGGTTGAGCTTTCGTCGTCGCCTTCCTGCAGAAGCTGGTCCCCCCGCGATTGACCGTAGGGGAAGAGCTCCTCTGGGTGCAGCGCCCCGGCTCGGGACAGCAGCAGCAGCAGCAGCAGTGGCGGCGGCGGCAGCGATGGCAACGCCAGTCGCCGGGCGGCCCGGTCCCCCCGCATGCTGGCTCGGCTCCTGGGCTGCCCCGCGGCAGAGCGCGTCCCGGCCCGGCCAGCCAGCCCACTAGCTGCGCGGAGCCAGCCTCTAACCTGGATCCCCGCGGGTGCGCGGCCGGGCGGGGACTCCGGACCCTCCCAACGCGCTGACTGGCTGCAGCGCTCGGCCGGGGACCAATCACCGGCTCGGGGAAAGTTCGACAGCCGCGGCCACATCTGGTTCTTGTTAGTTTTCTAAGGCAGCGGTCGCCGGAGCCGCGGAGCTGGCGAGGTAGAAGCCTGGGGCTGTCCGGAGTGCTGCTCCGCCTCCGCAATCCGTGAGCGGCCGGGCTCGCTCCCGCCCTCCTGCAGGGACTGCTCCGCGGAGCCCGCGAGCCCCTCCCCCGAGACCAAATGGCCCGCCAAGTCCGAGGGCAGCGGCGCTGCAGGAGAGGACCTCAGCGCCAAGGGGGAACCCCGCAGCGGCGTGTGCAGCTGCTGGCTGGCGTGACGCGCCCCGCCAGGCTGGCAGGGCGAGGGTGTGGTGGTGGGGTCCTGGGCGCCCCTCGCACTCAAATCATTGTTGCAGCCGCAGCTCCCTTGCTCCACCCAGAGAGGCCCTGCCAAGAAGCGCGCTTTTGTATGAAGCCGGAATGACGGGGGGTGGGGAAAGTCTAATTTCTAAATTCCGACCCCCTTCCTAAGGCTACAGCCTGGAAAGACTGGACTACCCGCCGAAATGCCCACCAGTCTGGGTCTGGGTCAAGAGAGTTCTCTGCTTTGTACCTTTCCCAGGGAAAACGGGACCTGGAAAGACCATGAAACACTCCTGTGTGTGATGGGCTCCGTGTGCAGCATGGAATGAAGTATCCCATTTGGGCAGCGGAAATGGGTGAGGCGCCAGGGTGGGGGTACCTTGCAGGCAGGGAGCTGCCCTTGCAGTGGGCAAGGGGGTGGTAACTTGAGCCGCTCCCTGGGACTGGAAACCAGCTGCTAGATGTGGGAGAACCCCATCCACCACAAACAACCGCTCTGTGAAGCATCAGGAGCCAGACGAGATTTTATTACCACTTTTATTATCAAGAGCTTGAAATTTCCCAAATAGTCTGTTTTCTCTCTCTAGCCCCCATGGGGTCCTTGGAAGCAAAGGTATTTTAAAAGATGGAAAAAAGCAAACCCTTGGAAATGCCTTAAGCGATGTTCAAAAGACAAATTTCTTTTTGTGGGTTTTTATTCCAGTTATACAAATCCTTCTGGGCCCACAGGCCAAGCCCTGAAAACTTTGAAGATATCAAACTGTGAGAGTCCCAGTATCAGCACAAAGTGGAAAACTGGCCCAAGGCAGTAAGCTTCCTCCCACTGTGAAGAGTCGTATGCTTGTTTTTATCAAAGTGTATTTCTGCTTGCACATATATGTTCTCATTTCTATGGGAGATAGATACTTTCACCATACTTAGGAGGAAAGGAATGCTCGAAGACATGACATGAAATGATTTGACCTAGCCAAGGTCACCTAAAGTTACTCTTTGATATAAAATCCTTCACCAGCTTTCACTAGGTTTTCCAAAACTCTCAACTGAGTTTAATTTTAAAAAGCTGACATTTATTTGGTGGTAATATAAGCTATCAGCTACTAACATAGGCTACCAGCTGTAGGCTACTGGCTTAAAATGACTCCCAAAGATCCCCATTTTATGGTGTTCATTCCCTTGTATAATCCCTTTCCCTGGAGTGTGGGCTGGCCCAATGACTTTTACCCTACAGAATGTGGCAATGGTGACAAGAAGTCACTTTGCTGATTAGGCTACATCTGTCTTGGTCACAGGTCCTCTGTCACTGACTGATGATTCAAGCTGTTATGCTGGGGAGGCCCACATGTCAAGGAAACTGAGGGCAGCTTCTGGCCAATGGCCATCCAGGCACTGAATTCCCCCAACAACCATGTAAGTGAGCTTGGAAATGGATCCTTCTCATGTCTTGAGATAATACCTCATCTCTGGCTGATACTTCATTACAGCCTCGTGAGAGACCCTGAAGCCGAAGACCAGATTCTGGACCTGTGAGAACTTAATAAATGTGCATTATTTTAAGCTGTTATGGTTTGGGATAATTTCTTATGTAGCAATAGATAAGTGATACAGCTAGACACTGTGCTAAGGAAACCAAGACTTCAAGGAATTAAAAAAAAAAAATCAGTTACATGGATTGTAAGTACCAGAGTCAGGATTTGAACTCAGTACTGTCTGATTTCTAAACCTCCACTCTGAAATACTAAATCATATTGCCACAAGGTTCTCTGCAAGGCTGTTCTAGCCTAGCTCTCTGACTTCAGCTCTAGGCACAGCTACCATTTCAGCTGAGACTTTAGTTCTCAATGTAACCTTCTATTTTATGGCACAGACCACCTTCCCATGCTAGTTCTTCTACCTGTAATGCTTTTCCTAATCAGTCTCCTCTAGCCAACACTCATTCACTCTTGAACACATGAATAAAAATGCTTCTCTTTCCAGAAGCTTCCCTGGAAGCCACAATCTGATTTAGAATCTCCATGTGCCATGTGCATGCCATTATCATATTGCCAACCCCACTGTATCTCCCTGAGTCCGTGATGCCCCATGTCTCCCTCACCCCCACAGGGACTTTGTCTTATGGGCGCCTGCCACCGCAATGCTTGCCTGGCTCTTCTGGAGAAACTTAGAGAAATGTTTGTTGAATGAGTGAAAGCAAGCCCACAACCCTGGGGCTAAGATCCCTATCTGCGGACACAAATGAAACACCACCTTTCCTGCTAATCTGAGCCAAGTTTAGTAATCCTCTTTACCAGGTAGCAGAGCAGCTCACCTTCCACTGTTTCCCAGCCTTTGTCATTCTCTCATTCATCCACCCAACAGCTATTTCCTGTGTTTACCAAGACAAACACAACTAGGCAAGACAGAATGGAGTATAAAGTGTGACCCCTGAGCTCAAGAAACTCTTGATCTGGGAAGACGAAGCATGAATATGAAAAAGCAGCAACATCACAAACTTAGCACAGATTTAACAACATAACAGGTAAGAAGAGCTGTGCCACTGACAGGATGTCACCAGTTTCGAATCTGATGCTGAGCACAACAAAGTAGATCCAAGAGGGCAGGAGCTGAAGTGAGCAGTGCTGGCTCGCTACTGCTTCAAGTGGCCGGATTCTTCTTAAATACGAGGCTATAGACACTGGTACTTGGGCAGACATTCCTTTGAGCTCTTCCTCTAATATTATTTTTAAAAAGACTATGGCATCCAGTGGTTTCTCCTTTAAAATGTCACTCTGTGTCTTCAGGAAAAGAAAAAATCTGTCATAGTAATTTCCCTGGTCAAAGTAAATACTGAAGAAATACTTCTCTTGTATCCAGTCCCGGAGTAGAATTTCCGTGACTTGCCAGACTGGCTGAGGAGGCAGAGGCCCCTTTTGGGTTGGCAATTATGAGAGGACCTCTACAGACATCTTAGTCCTCTTGGATTCATCTGTACGGTGACTCGGAGCATTACGTGAGAGGTAAGATGATTCAGGTGCAGAACTTTTTATCCCAAGCCAGGAATGGTACCAGACCTCTTGCCAACAGACCTCATCAAGAGTCTCCACAGTTCTATTTGTGTGCATGTGTGGTTACGTGTCTGTTAGAAATACCGAGACTTCAAGAATGATGGTACTTCCTGTTATTTTAATCAAGAGAATGAAAACACATTTGCTCCACAGTGTGGCAAATAGATGTGGGGATTCAAGACCAAGGTCTATGTATAGCCCTGACTGGTATGTGTGTATGTTTGTGTTGGAGGTGGGCTTGGCAGAAAATGTTCTGGTTCTTATTGCTCACAGTGATTCTTTGCATAACTTTACTATCCATTAAATTCCAGGGTGGGTATCCTAGCATGTAGGAAAAACAAGGCTGTACAAATTAGCACATCTCCTCAGACTTGGGCTTAATTGAAATTGTTAGGCCTAAGAAAAACTGTGCACTGTTTAGAAGTTCTGAGTAGTTCTTGAGATAGATTTGGTGAGATCCCTACATTCTAATGACCTCCAGATAGACCCCAAAGACCACTAAGCTTTCACTTGAGTTTTTCATTTATATCCCTCCCCAGGTGGGATGACACATCGAACCCACTTCTAGAATTAGATCCTCTACCCAGAATTTCTGAGTTTTCAGTTTTCATTAGTGGCAGCAAGAGCTGCTCCCTCTTGATTACCATGACCCGGTCTCCGGTCCCCATCGGCTCTCACCAGCTAGCTTTCATGACAGAAACAATAGGGTAGCTCCCCAAGCCGTATACCCAATCTCCTCCCCTGTGTGAATCCACCACAGAGCAAAGGAGAGGAGTGCTCTCTCGGGTTCTCTCACAGCTACAGTCACCATCTGGCAGTCCTCGCCAACCTGCTAGCAGTTTGCTGAAAGGCTGGTGACTTCCAGGAGGGCCCTTACCTGGGTGATTCTTGGGGATAGTTGCATCTTTCTCCAGTCTTGCTGCCTTACATGTGGATGTGTTGGTTTGAGCTTGGACAACCGTCTTCTTCAGACCTTAGTGACAACTATGAGGACAAAAGCATGGCAAGGCAAAAAGTCAGATAGGAGATGAGTGTCTCAGTCAGTGAGTAACTGCCTACCCCCAGACTGTCTGTTCGGTGAGAAAACCAACCCGCGTTGCTGAAAGCCACTGTCACGTGCCCCTGTACCTAATCCTGATACTTGGCTAACTCCTTTCTCTACATCTGTCTAACACACAAATATGACCACCACACACTCCTGTCTAGGCCCCTTGGGTCGATCCTCCCTCACCTGCAGGCTGAACCTTGAGCTGGAAAGGCCCTGAGGCTTGGCCTCTGTCTGCCGTCTCCTGCCCTTTCCTACCTAGACCTTTAGCAAAACTGAGCTATTAGTAGTCCCCCATCCGCATAGAAAGCTTGACTCCAGTGTGCCCGTTTATGCTGTTCCTTGCCTGGAACCCCCTTCTGATCTCCTGATGATCTCTCACGGCCTCCAGCACTCAGTTCAGAC